AGACACATTTGTTTTCGCACAATAACTTTTGTTTAAGTGAATGGATCTCTATGAAATTTTACCATAAGGTTCAATACCACAAAAGGAAGGTTGGGATTGATTTTGGGGGTTATGGCACCAACAGTTAAGGAATAATGGGCCAAAAGGGGCCAAAAATAAGCATTTTTGTAACTTCCAGACAATAACTTGTGTTTAAGTGTATGGATCTCTCTGAAATTATACCACAAGTTTCCATACCACAAAGGGATGGTTAGGATTGGCTTTGGGGGGTTATGGCTCAAACCGTTTAGGAATTAGGGGCAAAAAAGGGGAAAAAACAAGGGTTTCCTGGTTAATGGACAATTTAAAAGCAGTGTAAGGGAGGTAATCATCTATTTAAGACTTTTATGATGTATTTAAATTGGTAATTATGGTTGCAAACTCCATAAAAGATTTGAATTGAGATTATGACCATATCTTGAGGGAAAGAATTTTTTTTTGGAAAAGGGGGGGGGGGGGGGGAGCGGGGTAAAAAAGAAATTGTGGGGGGCAATTTTTATTTTCATTTCAGATTTCAGAAATTAAAAAGGAAATTTCTTCAAATATTTTTTTTTTTTGGCAAAAAAAAGGGGGGGTAAATTTTTTTATTTTTTTTTTGTTGGGGGGAGTGGGGTCAATTCACAACAGCATAGTGTATTGCACAAAAGCAAAAAATTGAATATAAATTCAAATCATATAACCAGTTCTAAGTTCTTTGACTACAGTTATTTTGTGTCAGAAACCTATTATGTGTCTAATATTTATTTACAATCCAAATTCAGAACTGTATCAAGCACGAATATTGTGTCCATTTTCGCCCCAACTGTTCAGGGTTGGATCTCTGCGGTCGTATCCAGCTGCGTTCAGCAAAGCATTTTATTTAAATTGGAGTTATCTTCCTTTGTCAATGATTATAGTTGAATCAACAACAATCAATGCTTTATTCAATGCAATGTTTAATTTTGCCTTCCACTGATAAAACACAGATCAAGTTGAATTTGGGTAGTGTCACTTTAACCATTATTGAGTTATGCCCATTTATAAATCGAAAACTTGCAAAATTTTTAGTGTCCGTTCTGTAACTTAAGTTGGCCCCAACCAAACATGAAACCTATACACAATACTTATTACCACAAAACTAAGATCAAGTACATATTCGGGTAGCGTCACTTTTATTGTTCTTGAGTTATGTCCCTTTATAATGTTGTATGCAAGCGGGGGCATCATCTGTGTCCATGGGGACACATTCTCCATTTTTAGTCCCCTACCGACGAAGTCGAAGGGGACTTTAGGTTTGCACTCCGTCCGTCTGTCTGTCTGTCCTTCTGTCAGTCCAGCAAATCAGCTTTCCACACTTTTTTTCTTCTTTCTTGAAGATATTGATATGATATTTGGTATATAGTTTTATCATGACAAGTTATAGATCAAGTTCAAATTTTGTTCCGGTCTGATGATTTAATCCAGAGTTATGGACCATAACTCTGGACCATATCTAATGTTAAAGTACTATGTTAAACAATATTTCTGTACAATGGGAGATAACTAATTTTTTAAAAGACATTCTTTGTTCAATTATTTGAAGAATTTTTTGGAAGGTTTGTTAGTTATTTAGTATAAACTAATTTTCTGAATGCTATATATATAAAAAAAATTATGAAGAGAAATCCTTTAGTTAGATAATAATCTATTTTTATTATGTATATATTTCAATACATTACATTGTGTAGATAAAAGGTATTGACATTTTATAGATAAGTTACAAATCTATGTTAGTTTGTGACAAATGAAAGAAAAAATATTTGGAACTATTAATTATATTTGATTATAATTTGAAAATAGATATACACTGTATTACATCATATCTAATTTTAGAGAACTATTAATCATATCTAATGTTTTTTTCATCATGCTTATACGATATTGATTGATAATTGGTATATAGTTTTATCATGACAAGTTACAGATCAAGTTCAAATTTTTGTTTCGGTCTAATAATTTTGTGCAGCGTTATGGTCCTTGGACTTGAAAAATTCACTCATATAATCAGTTTTCCACACTGTTTTTAGTCATGCTTGAAGATATTGACATGATATTTATTTTTTGTTTACACCATGGCAAGTTATATAACAAGTTAGCATTTTGTTCCAGTATAATGAATTTTTACCCAGTAGGGGACTATGTATTGCCATGCAATACTCTCAGAATGCTTGTTTATTTTATTTTAATTTTGGTACTGATCAAATATTCAACACTGCTGCCAGGCCCAATAGTGTGTTCTGATTGGCTAATATTTCAAAAATTTTCTTGTCAGAAACCACAATCCAAATAAACTTCTACTCTACAGGAAAATTAAAGTCCTGTTCCAAATTTGTAACTTTGGTACAGATCTGCCACAGTGGGACATAGTTAACATGGGATATGGTACATAGTTAACATAGGACCTTATGGGAAGTACATGTATACAAAAAACTTTTCAGTTCACTGTATGACAGATTGAATTGATATTTGCCTGAATTATCAGATTAATTATAGCACTTAACAAAGTTTGTGTTTCTGGTGCCGATCCAAAATCCAAGATATTTGCCATAGGATGACATAGTTTAACATGTCCTAAAGATATACAATCAAAGAGCTTCTTTTCAGGAACTGTGACAGACTGAAATGGTATTATGCCTGAATGATCAGATCATGGTCCTTAACGAAATTTGTGTTTTTTGTGTTGATAAAGAATTCAAAATGGCTGCCACTACGTAACATACTGTTTAACGTCGGACCCTAACTTTTTCATTTTAATGTTCTCCTCTTAAACCACTAGGCCTATTGAAACCAAACTTGGCATGGTTGATCATTGGATGGTCGTCTTTCAAAATTATATCTGATAGACCCGCCCTCCATCAGAAAGGGCCACAATTACCAAGAAAATAATTTTATTTTTATGGCTAAAACCACTTCATTTTTCAGCAAAAGTGTGCTCAAATTTAAACTGTAGAAAATGGGAAAGAGAAGTTTTAACATAAATGCCAGGTTTTTCTGTAAAAATATATACTTGGGTGGAATAGTGAGTGGTCTTCTTTCAGAATCGTGTTTGATGATCCCGCCTACCATCCAAAATTAGAACTGATGCATGCATACGATCGTGACATATTAGACCTCAATTGGTAAGCATGTTGGGGCTTGTTGTCATTTGGTAATTTAAGCATTCCAGAAATGACCTTTTTCTCAAAAATGGCCACTGGTACTAATAATTAAAAATTCAGCAAAAAATCACTTAAAAATTTTACTGTCTGAATCTACATGCAGGGCCAATAAAGACCAAACTCCTGTGGAAGAGTTTTGTGGTGGTGCTGTCTGTCAACCAAGATGGCTACCACTAAAAAAAAACTTACTAAAACTCTAAGGGGTGTTACAAGACTTGAAATGACAAGTACTATTGAGTTGTGTTGTCATTTATCAAATTTCATTATTTTTTTTTTCAGTTTATAAGAGTTGTCTCACATGTATACATTCAGTTTTATTCTTGTCTACTGTGAACAAGGTGAGCGATTAAAGGCTCCTTTGAGCCTCTGGCTATTAAATTCCTGCAGATGGATTCACACTTCCCCAATCTCTATATTTGTGATAAAATTTTATCAGTTAAAATTTATCTGTTTATGATATCTAAATCACCACTTTTAAAAAATACTTATTTTGAAATGAAAAATACTCTTTAAATTGAAATCAGTGAGACATCAGTCCAAATACATGCATATTGAACCAACTGAAAAATGTACAATCCATAAGAAAAATCTAACACTCACAGTACACTTCCATCAAGGACTATTCACAAAAGTAATGGTTTCAAATTTCAATGGCATGAATAGATTACTATGAGAATTTTTTTTAATTTCAAGGTCTAAAAAAAGCGAAGGTTACTGTTTATGTTGGATTTTAGAGTAAGAGATACTAGAAGTGGATAAATTTCATTTGTTTATATATTAACCATGGTCTTGTCTGACTTTCTTCTACTTATGCTTTTTATTTCACCATCCCCCCTTTTTGGTATCTTCCCCTTTTTGTTTTATGAACAAGCTTGAACTATTTTCGTAGTGCCTGTGTGCAATATGTCATTCATATTCAATGTTTAAGCAAGGATTTACAGTTTGATATGATAGGAAGATTATTTTAAAAACTTTGGTTAAAGCAAATAATATATATGTCTGCATAGTATTTAAGTTGTACTGTTTTGGGGAAATGCTTTAACTTTTTTCAATAATAAACACCAAGATTTGAGGTAAATTACATGTAATTGGCCGATATTTCAGATTTTAATGAAATTTTTTAAGCATTTAGAACTTGTTGAACTGCTTCTAATTATCCAACAATGTTATAAATGTACCTTTCATATTTCCAGAGATACAGTCAATTAAAAATTGGTGAAATAAGTCTTTATAAATATTATATTAGAGAATGAATGTAAAAAGCAGCGAAAAATTTGCAATTTTTTCAATTTAAATTGCATTTTCTGAAAAATCTGGTTGCAGAATTTTTGTTTAAGAATTATTATTTATTGCATAAACAGTTCTGTTTTAATGATATAAAAATATCAGGGGGTTACTGTATTAGTTTGTTCAGAGACATATATTCACATGTGTATATGTCTCTGGTTTGTTCCATAAAAATCAATTTGTCTCGATATTAAACATGTGAAAAAAGTATCAAAGGAACAAAAAATCACAATGTATAGTGGCAGCAATACACTGCAAAATCATATTGTTTCATTAATCACTCATGAATAATTAAATTTTACTAACTCTCACACAAGAAATGCACCATATATTAAAATGAAATTATTGTAACAGATTAATGAAAATTCGACATAGGAAGACTTCAGAATCTACATTGTTTAAATAATCTTATCTGATATTGATTTATTATAATACAAAAGTATATTGACTGTGAAACGATATATTATGACTACTAATAAAGACGTCTTTATCTGTGTAGAATCTACGGATATGCTGAAATAGTTCGTTCCGATACGATTCCGCTGCTTACAACGAATTCGGGATATCCGGTAATTATAGATAAAAATGCTTTCCAGAAAAAGAAAAGAAAATCTTAGATTGCGGGTAAAAATGGAATCAAATCCATCTGAAAATGACGAAGATAGTTGCAACACTGATGATCAACATTCAATTTCTTCCAAAAAAGATGCAGAAGACCATACGATAGAAACCGACAAGACTTCGACACACAAAACAAAACTTACACTCGAAGAAAAAACCCGTTTGCTAGATGACTTAGCTTCCAACAAAAAGTCGATAAAAGACATTCTACGTAAATATAAAATGTCACGAAGTTCACTTAATTCAATTTTAAACAATCGAAATGGTGTGAAGGGAAGTTCGAGTAAAACAATAAATAAAAATGTGAGCCCACTCTTCAAAATTTTGGAAAAGAGAATTTTAGATTGGGTCAGAAATGCCAATGAAAAGAAGAAATCATTCAATGCAAAAGTTCTTCAAAAGAAAGCTAGAGAGAATGCAGAAGATCTTGGTATTGCTGACTTTAAAAGATCATCGACTTGGGTGGAGAGGTTAAAAGCAAGAAATAAAGAAGTGGTTAGTATACATGTATGTTGTACATTGACATGGTCATTGTACATTATTAGGTTTTGTCATGTACATTGTACATTATTAGGTTTTGTCATGTACATTGTACAAACTGTCTCACTAATTAGCGACAAGAAGAGAAATTTTGTGACAAGTAAGTTTATTTACTTTCAAAACAATAATTTTTTTAAATTAAAAAGTCATTTAATTACAGGTTAATATGAATACTTTATTAAATTCAATTAAAGGGCCCGTTCCGGAGCATATACATATATACATCTATTATTGATTATACAGTAATTTTTGAAGATGTATTACAGTGAAAATAAATAAAAGAATAAATAACTATCCTTCATACAACATGTACAAGATAGTGTTTAAAAAATATATATATATATATATATTATCATGATTATAGAATATTAACCCTTTGTAATACCATGAATACATAAAACATAAACAACATCATTACTTCGTTTATATTTAGACACTGGAATGCAAATTCTATGCCGTCTTGTGAAATTTTAGTAAAAAAAAAATATTTTAAAGTAATTATGAATCTGAACATTTGGTTACAATTCCAGAATCATAATGGTGTCACAACAGTGAAGTAATCTTGATAAATAGATTATGTAAATAAAAGCACATGGCAATTACTCTAAAGGAGTAGGTCCGGTAAGGGCCGATTTTGGCCTCAAATTTCAGGTTCATCTGATGAAACATTTTGGACACTTTTTAAACACTTAAGTGTCTACTTCAGTCGATTCAATTAGTTAATGTGAAAGATTCGAACTGATTTAGTCATTAAAAACGTCAAATTCAAGCTTAAATATGGAAAATCTATCAAATATGCCATAATATGTCACTTTTCAGATGGTTTTTGTCAAAAATGAAAGTGGCCGCATCCGTGTTCACTCTCAACCTTTATATATGTTATGTATAATCATCAAATAAAACTTACATTTAAATATTAAGAATGAACACAAATGCGGCCACTTCCATTTAAGACGGAAACCGTCTAAAATTTAACTCAAATGCTAAAATTTCGAAGATTTCAGTAATTTAGCATGACTTAATGATGCTAGTACCCGATATATGTGGATTGTATTGTCAAAAACAGCTCATATTTATGTAACAGAAGTATTCTTCTTTCCAATAAATAACTTAAAGTTTACATTTTAACAATTTTGTAAAACTGCTATATTTTGGGGCCAAAAAGGGGTCTTACTGGACCTACTCCTTTAAGAGCATACAGGATGAGCTAATGCTTCAATCATCTGATTATACTATGTGTCCATAAAGAATGGCTTAAAAATTTAAGAACAAAGAAATTAACTCACCCCTTTTCATTCATTCATTCACTTATATATGTATATGCTGTAAACTGTTAATATATTATCTTCAACATGTCCTCAATAATATAAAAAAAACCTCTTCTCTTAGAGGAATGTTCATTTTCTTCTTGTCGCTAATTAGTGAGACCCTGAACAAAATTGTATATGCAATTTTGAACATATTGGTACATGAAACCTGGTCTGTTAACCAATCAACAATGTTTGAACAATCGGTTCTTACTGCAAGTACTGTAAGGTAATAACATGAGCATTGTGACCTAGGAAAAGTATAGGAAAATTCAGGAATTTGAAAGTCCTCTATGATGTCATGGTATGAATATGAATATGTTCAATATGAAGTGTTGAAATAAGGTAACTTTTCTCCATATACATGCATATATATGAATGCTATATTGAGGCAGATGCTACATGTACCTGTAGAGCTCCCATAGGATATTAGTTTTTAACTAGTGGTTATTATAGGCTGTATGGGATATGATTTGTAAAATTGGTTATAAACAAATTAAATTTATAAGTCATAATTTTTTTTCTAATTTGATTGATTGATTGCTGAGTGTTACAGATCTGATTGAAAATTATAATCAATGAATCAGATTAATCAGACAGCATACTCTGATTTAATTTTCAATTATGATCAGTGTTTTGTTCCAGAAAAAAGTTTGGGTGTGTTGGATGTTGGAAATTCCATTCTTATTTTGGGGTGCTACCACCAGAATTTTAACACTCTTTTCCTTCTGCATGTTACACATACAACCGTTCATGTAAGTTATTCTTCTGCCAAATTTTATTTTCAAAGGTATGAACAGCTCCAGAATACAATATTTTCTTGTGTATTAATGTTTTAATTGGATCTTATATAAAGGACTTTGAAAAAAATTAACTTCTCCAGTGTAAATATTATTCGCGTAAATGGATATCACCCTACTAGTGTGAATATGGTGTTTATTTCCCAATATGATTGAATATCCATTAATATATTAACGATATTAAATATTACAATTCACTTATACACTACAATCAGATGCATTTTTTTAAAATTTGGATTGTTTCAACAAATACTGAGAAATAAACAATGTACATATGTTTCCTAAAATGTGGAAAACTTCTGCCTATATATATATACATATAAATGTATACTTTGCAATAATGAATTATTAGAGAAAAGGAAGAAATCTTTTTTCTTTCTTCTTAAAATGACTCAATGTTTATCTATCATATTGCCCAGTACATGTATTACCAGTTTCTGGTTGTATAGCAAGTGCCCAGCCCCAAAAAACTGACCTGGCCAGTTATGCCTACCCATGTAATATATGTACTATGTATGCATGAATACATTGAAGTTTGTACTTTGTGAGGCTGGTACATATATATATATATATATATATATAGTTGAAACAATGATGGTGTACATTTATATCTGTTAAGACATGTACCAATTTTTGTGCCAGTGTTTGTTCAGATTAATATTTAATATCGTAACTTGTTCTCCAAAGTCTTGTCAGGTTATTTTAGCATTTTTCAATTATTTTTATTATTATTGAACTTGAAGGTGTATGACAAGTTCAAAGAGGGCAGAAAAGTTTTCACATTGACATTAGAAAGGAAGGCTGAACTGATTGCTGATGTAGACAAAGGTGATAGATCCAAGCGTGATTTAGCCGAGGAATATGGCATAGCCCCCAGTACACTGAGTGGTATCATGGTTAATAGAATCAGAATCTTGGAAGCTTTCCACAGTCAGGCATTTAGACCAGAAAGAAAGAAGTTCAGAAAGTCTTCATTTGAAGACTTAGAAAAAGAGCTACTACTTTGTGTACTTAAGTGGCAGTCTGCAAATGAACCTTTCAATGGACCTAAGTTGATGGAAAAGGCAAAGGAGATAGCTAAGGACCTAGAAATCACTGAGTTTGTTGGTTCTAATGGTTGGATTGATAGATTTAAAAACAGAAATAATATTAAATTCATACCTGGATGTGAAGTGGTAAGTTCATGAAGTTAAAATGTTATGAAATGTTCAGTTATTATCAGTAATTATGCTAAATTCTGAAATGTTTGAATTCGATGGAATACTTCAATAGGTTTGTACTGTAAAGTTTATGTATTTCATTGATTACGTATATGCATGTACTAGCACATATGTTTTGTACATTTTTTTCAAAGCAATATAACAGTTACTGATGACGATCAAAGATATACTGCTTAAATCAAAGCTAGGGATCGATCGTCTTGGTCTTTACAGTTGAAGAGCCTTGTTCCAATGATTTTGATATTAATTGATTGGTCATTTTTAAGTTGTCAAATATTTTTATGATATTAGACGCATATATGACTTCATACATGTATTCCATTTAAGTAGACAGGAACAGTTAAAGATTAAGTTTTTGAAATCAAATTGTTATTTATATTTGCATGGTTTTCATGCAAGTAATAGAGCAAAAGGTAGTAAAATTGTGTTAACTTCAACATGTGCATTGTACAAAAAAACATGTATCTACTTATAATAGAATTAAAATTTACATCTACTGCAGTAGGAAGGGGGTAAATATGATCATCAAAAGCTTTAGCAAATAATCATTAATCAGTTTGACTCAGAATGTCACAATACATGTACTGTAAATTCAGAAATTATTGCGAGGTTTTTATAATTGCAAATAATGCGACTGGATGACTATCGCAATAATATGAACTCACAATCTGATATCTGATACATATATATCTGTATGTAGATTTTCCGGAAATCGCAATAATTAAACTGCATTATTGTCCTTTCTTAAAAAATAGCAATAATAAATGAATGCAATAATTTCTTAATTTACCATATATAAACTACAACTCTGTTTTTTTTTTGTTTTATGAAGTGCGGTATTACAGCTTTTGGTTATGTCTCTTTAATTTTTTACCTGTTGCATTTTCAGAATAAAGGATATAAAGAGGACAGGAAAATAACAACTTTAACACTTGAAAGGAAAGTTGAGCTTTTAGAAGAAGTGGAAAAGGGTGAAAGGTCAAAAAGACAAATTGCTGAAGAATTTGGAATTGCACCTAGTACTTTGAGTGGCATCATTGTCAATCGTGTTAGGATCATGGAAGCACATAATAGTAAATGTTTTGGTCCAGGACGCAAGAAATTCCGTAGATCAACATTCCAAGATGTGGAAGAAGACCTACTGAAATGGGTTGAAGAAACTAAAAAACAAAACTCAGCAATAAAAAGCACACAATTGCTGGATAAAGCAAAGGAAATTGCAAAAGAGAAAGGAATAGAAAATTTTGCAGGATCGCATTCATGGGTTGACAGATTCAAATCTAGAAATCTGAAAACCTTTAATTCTTCAGTTGATGATGATGTAAGACCTGATTAGCCATGTACATGTATCAATTATTTCTGATGCACTAGTTTTGACCCACATCCCTAGAGAAAGATTTACTTATGAAAATAAAGTAAACTTATATCATGTAGTCCAGTAAATTGTTTGTTTCACTTACCTATTCTTATATTTCACAGTCATAAAGTAAAACTGGTTGTAGCTGAAATATGCATCTTTATAATTTCTATCAAATGTCATTCTAGTAACATTTAAAAACTTTGAATGACTCTTAGTTCCATCCAATTTTGTTTGACTGACCCACTGTTTTATAAAGGCTCAGAATAAAAAGATCCACTGTCATTCAGATTAATGTATATGTCATTGAAATTTTTTGTTGTATAAATGTATCATGTCTTGTGTTTTTGATATCAGAATATGACCAAAATATTCACAGGAATAAGTTATCATTTGATTTGATATGCCCTGATATTTTGATTATATGGAAGATAAATAAACATTGCTTTGAGATTGAGCCCTGCTATCATAATTTAAAGAGATCAACAAAGAAAATTTCTCAACAGGTTAAGAAAATAATTTTTTTTTTCAACAAATAACTGATTGTATATTTTCAAGTTTTCTTTCAAGTTTTGGAATTACTTTTGGAATTTATACTGCTCAGTTTGAGTTCAGTTAAAGTACTTGAATCAAGCTGTTTCATGGGAATTGACCCATGCAAAATTGTTAACACCTGTCTGGTTGTGGTGTAAGATAACATGGGTATATGAACTGATATATATATATATATATATATATTATATTAACAGAATACTGAACAAGATTCCAATCAGTCAGAGAATCAGTCTGACCAAGATTCAGAGCCAGCTACACCAGATGCAGGTGATTCCTCTGATGTATCTCAGATGACAAAAGAGGCATATGATGCCATTGAACAAAGACCAGAATTCCAGGTAGTTATGATGAATAGTAGATTATTTTATAAATGACTGGTAGGCAAAAAGGTAAAAGCTGGCTGAACAAAGTTGTACATCTCTGAAGGTCAACAGTTGTTACCAACATTCATCTGTTCCAAAATAAACAGTTTAATGTAAAACAGAACAGGCATACTAATTTTAAACATTTTAGCTATGATATAATTTTAAACAAAAGAAAAGTTAAAACAATTGTCGAACATAATAACTTTTTTTATTCAAGCGTCATTGATGAGTTTTTATGCCCCCACCATAGCGGAGGGGGCATTAAGTTTTACCTCTGTACGTCCGTCCGTCCTAAAGTTGGTTTCCGTTCTCTAACTTTAGTTTGCCTCAACCAAATGTTATGAAACTTATACACAATGCTTATTACCACTAAATACAGATCAAGTTTGAATTTTGGTGGCATCACTTTTACCGTTCTAGAGTTATGCCCCTTTACAAATGGAAAAATTGCTAAATTTTTCGTTTCTGTTCTCTAACTTAAGTTTGCCTCAACCAAATGTTATGAATCTTATACACAATGCTTATTACCACAAAACTCAGATCAAGTTCAAATTTGGGTAGCGTCACTTTTACCGTTCTTCAGTTATGTCCCTTTATAACTATATGATATGCAAGCATGGAATCATCTGTGTCCACATGTGGACACTATCCACATTTATCATGTTTATTTTCTAGATGAAATGCAAGTCTGACTTACAAAATTACAAGCTTGGTATCTTTGAACAGTTTTTTTCTAATAGGAGAGATCTTAATAACAAAACCTGGACTATTTACAATTAATAATTGAACAAGCAGGGAAAGATAATCTTAATTGAAAACAATTAAATGAAAGGAGATAGTAAAATGAAATGTATGATGGGGAAGGAATCCAACTTTTTGCCACACTTGTATGTGTCCTTCATGTACTTATTGAGTTTGATATACTGATACTACTGTGAATTCATTATTATTCGTGCGAAACCAATTTTCGTGATATAATTTTTCCTCAATCCATGAAAACAAAACGAATCCACGGTATCGATTGTATCAGAAATTTATAAATGTACTTTATACAGTAGTAATTCTGTTTTACAAAACTTTATCTTCAAGTAGACCAAAGCTTAACATACCATTTATAGAAAAAAATATCATTAGAATTATGATGAATTCATGTAACAAATTAAATACATTATTCTAATTGAAGTTCACCAAAGATCTGCTGGATGAATTTGATGTTGTCATGTCACTTTATGATATACAGTAAAACCTTAATAAAATGAGTCCTCCAAAGCCCTTTATTTCATAAAAAATAATCCATTTGATAATTAGTCTGAAATGAGGATAATTATAATTTATTTAATATTTTTATGCCCCCGTCGTAGCGGAGGGGACATTAAGTTTTACCCTTGTCCGTCTGTACGTACGTACGTCCTAAAGTTGGTTTCCAGATCTCTTAACTTTAGTTTGCCTCAACCAAATGTTATGAAACTTATACACAATGCTTATTACCACAAAACACAGATCAAGCTTGAATTTTGGTGGTGTCACTTCAACCGTTCTAGAGTTATGCCCCTTTATAAATGGAAAAATTGCTGATTTTTTTTGTTTCCGTTCTCTTACTTTAATTTGCCTCAACCAAATGTTATGAAACTTATACACAATGCTTATTACTACAAAACACAGATCAAGTATGAATTTTGGTGGCGTCACTTTAACTGTTCTAGAGTTATGCCCCTTTACAAATGGAAAAATGTTTCCCTTCTCTCACTTTAGTTTGCCTCAACCAAATGTTATGAAACTTATACACAATGCTTATTACCCCAAAACACAGATCATGTATGAAATTTGGTGATGTCACTTTTACAGTTCTAGAGTTATGCCCCTTTACAAATGGAATAAAATGCTCCGCTGGGGCGCAGCTTAATACGACCGTAGAGGTCGAACCCTGAACAGTTGGGGCAAGTATGGACACAACATTCAAGCTTGATACAGCACTGAATTTGGATTGTAATTAAATATTTGACACAGCATAGGTTTCTGACACAGAATGAATATGGTCTAAGAACTTAAAATTTTTTAATTTACCTATTCAAACCATATCATTATTATTTGCTTTTATATATGAATCAGAAATAACCAATTTAAAATGGAAAATTTTAAAGAAAAATTAGGGAAAAAAAATCCCCCCCTCCCCAAATTTTTTGAACCCCCTTATGATTCATCACCCCCAAACTCAACCCCAGCCTTCCCTTTGTGGTATGGTACCTTGCAGTTCAATTTCAGAGAGATCCATACACTTGAACACAAGTTATTGCCTGGAAACTAGAAAAATGCTTGTTTTTTTGCCCCTTTTTGGCCCCAAATTCCTAAACGTTTAGGGCAATTATCCCCAAATTCAAACCCAGCTTTCCCTTTGTGATATGGAACCTTGCAATACAATTTCATAAAGATCCATACACCTACACACAAGTTATTGTCCTGAAACTAGAAAAATGCTTGTTTTTTTGCCCCTTTATGGCCCCTAATTCCTAAACGTTTAGGGCAATTATCCCCAAACTCAATTCCAGCTTTCCCTTTGTGATATGGAACCTTGTAGTACAATTTCATAAAGATCCATACACTTACACACAAGTTATTGTCATGAAACTAGAAAAATGCTTGTTTTTGGCCCCTAATTCCTAAAATTTGGAGGCAATTACCCCCAAAATCAATCCTAGCATTCCCTTTGTGATATGGAACCTTGTGGTACAATGTCAGAGAGATCCATACACTTACACACATGTTAATGTCATGAAATTAGAAAAATGCTTGTTTTTTGCCCCTTTTTGGCCCCTAATTCCTAAAATTTGGAGGCAATTACCCCCAAAATCAATCCCAGCATTCCCTTTGTGATATGGAACCTTGTGGTACAATGTCAGAGAGATCCATACACTAACACACAAGTTATGTCTGGAAGTTACAAAAATGCTTATTTTTGGCCCCTTATTCCTTAACTGTTGGTACCATAACCCCCAAAATCAATCCCCACCTTCCTTTTGTGGTATTGAACCTTATGGTAAAATTTCATAGAGATATCCATTCACTTAAACTAATGTTAGAGTGCGAAAACCAATGTGTCTTTTTTTGCGGTCTTATAAAAATTGCTAAATTTTTCGTTTCTGTTCTCTAACTTGGGTTAGCCTCAACCAAATGTTATGAAACTTATACACAATGCTTATTACCACAAAACACAGATCAAGTATGAAATTTGGTGGTGTCACTTTTACTGTTCTAGAGTTATGGCCCTTTACAAATGGAAAAATTGCTGAATTTTTCCTTTCAGTTCTCTTACTTAAGTTTGCCTCAACTAAATGTTATGAAACTTGTACACAATACTTATTACCACAAAACTTAGATCAAGTACAAATTTGGGTAGTGTCACTTTTACCGTTCTTCAGTTATATGCCTTTATAACTTTATATGATATGCAAGGGGGGGCATCATCTGTGTCCCATGGACACATTCCCCATTTATTTCGCAATGCATTATTAACATTAAGCTATAAATATTAATTTGACAACTGTCTTTTTGAAAGTACTTGTTAAAAGGAGAGATAATTTCTATCAATTTCAGAATATTTTCAAAAAGCACAAATGTAGAGACCAGTACAGGAAGTATACTCAGGAACAGCTGATGGAAGCTTGTAAATACTCAATGGAAACCAAAGCTTCATACAGGGAAGTGTCGGAGAAGTTTGGTATCCCACAATCAACATTGAGAGACAAGTTACATGCTGTAGAGAAACTAAACACTGATGTAGGTCAACCTCCAATCAAAAAAGCAAGGACTGAAAGTACTGAGACAAAAACGTCAACTGAGTCCTCCACTATGGTTCTTTCTCCAGAGATACCAGACAACAATTCAGATTCAGATAAACTTAATGCAGCATCTAATGATGTAAGTAAAATCAAATGATAAACATATGAATAAAACATGGGGTAAAATAAAAAATGAGTCAGCAGGCCAACAATGCAAATTAACCACGAATGAAAATTAAGGTTTTGGTGGGGGGGGGGGGGTTTCAAGATAAAAAAAATGGACATATAGATATTCTTAATTGTAGTAATGTCTTTTGGGAAGTTTTTCTGTTTCATTGACTACATCTCAAACATCATTCTGAAATTAGTCTTTTATATGACTTCCTATATGTTATTTGCAGAAAAGCATGAACGAAGGTATTAAGATTTTAGAAAATGGACAGTTCTGATGCATTAGCATTACACAGTAGACCATACATGTTTGAAAAGACATTATAGGATTATTGACGTGAAAATTGGGCAGATTAACTCTCAAACTGATTAAAGTCATTTAGACTTACATGTAAAGTTTGGTAGTCAGCTGCCCAGTTTACCATTATAATACTCCATCAAAATATTTTTTTATTATTTTTCTTTTAATTTCACTTTTCTTGAAGTCCCAGGATATTATTTATGTGTATCATAATATATGAATATATCACAGTGAAATTGACACATGCTTGCATAGGTAAGGAAGTTGTTAAGGCAACATGGTCTATCAAAGTGTAAACTTCACAAAGAAAATTGACCATTCACATTCAAGTATTTGTAGATATTTGTTCTGTTTTGTGTGTTTTGTCAAAGGACAACCGATAGCCTGTTTTTCAATGTAACTAATAGGGACTTACATTCACTGTCTTATGACTTTTGGTCCAGACCAAGCTTCCTGTAGTTTGCATTTACAATGACTTTTTACTGATTCCATTTGCCTGTAAACTGTTGACATGATATGTTGGCTAAACAGCTGATTAACCAGGTCTTTGAAAAGAGGTTACAAAGTTAAAACATCACCATAGCATAAACATGCCTAAAACAATGTCAACCAGGCTGCAATATTCCAGGTCCCATGACAAGTAAACCATTTTTGAAAATAACAAGAAGAATACAAGAATGCTTAACAAATACCCTCTTATCCCTTAGTTAACTGTGCAAGACCCTACTGATGGAGTAGATTTATGTTCCATTTTGATTGATTGTTTAGGTACCTTTTTTCAACCCACATTTTGAGCAAATATTTTAGATGGCTTAAAACTGTTACATATGACTAACAAGCAGAAGAAATAATTCTGTATCCTTGTTATAATACAAAGTCTATTTAATGGAGATAGCAAACATTTTTCATGCTGAAGTGGTTCAGATTAATAACAAAAAAAATCTTCTTCTCTTTTAGAGATCAAACTATAGGCAATATTCAAAAGATTCCCTGACCACTGCTGCTCACTATGTTATGAAATTTAATACTCCGATAATGAAGGCTGCACGAATGTTTGGAGTCCCAGCCTCAACTCTTAAGGACCATGTTCGTAATAAATTACCTCAGGATACTGAACAACTAACACAGCCATCAACACCATCACTTATAAATGATAGAGATGAAAGGAAACTCATTGAATATATAAAGATGATGGAGAAATGTGGTTTCATATTGACCACAAAAGAAATCATTGAATTTGGATCTGAATTGGCCAGTGCATCACAAGAAATTGAAGGCTCTATCACTCTTAGTGATTCATGGTATCTTGATTTTGTCAAGAGATGGCCTCCTTTAGGTATGGTCAATAGAGAGGGACGAAGCCCTATCCCTCAGGATATTAAAAAATATTTTATGGAGTTGAATAAAATTTTCAATAAACACAAATTTTTTGAACGACCAGAGCTTGTATATGTTATGGATGAAGTTGATATAACTCTGGAATACAATCCTTTGAAATTAGTTCCACGGAAGAGATTTAGTAGATCGAATCAGTGCAAAACTACTCAACAAAAATTAACATCTGTGGTTGGTTGTTCTAATGGTCTGGGTACAACTTTACCTCCATACTATGTTTTACAATCTGATGAAATAGTAACAGATGTCATTTCTCAATCACCACCAGGTACTCAAGCAATGTTTGCTAATACAGTTCGAAAAGATTGTAGTACATTACGAGATTATTTTCAGAATCATTTCATGCGATTTGCTCAGTCAGGAAGAAATACTCAAAATAGATTTGTACTTGTGTTCTATGACAGTAGGAGGACAAATCTCAATGTTTCTGATATAGATTGGGCCAAGCGTTGGCACATTTTGTTATTTCCACTCCCACATCCTATTAAGAAGGAAGAAGAATCGGCAAGGGAAATTCTTAATGGCATTTTTCAAAACTATGGTGATGATGTTGAAGAAGAGAGGAGTAAATTTGTCAAACAAAAAGGCTACATGGCTGTTTCAATGCCAGATATTTGTGGTATTTTAGGGAAGGCTTACAGGAAATCATTGACTTATGCACATATTTCCTCTTGTTTCGAAAGCTATGGAATTTATCCTCTCAACCCAAGGAATTATGTCAGCAGATTGGATGCATCATTTCAGCTGAAGCTACATGATCTGCAGGCAATGCCCAACTATGAAACTAATCTCTGGTTATTGAGTGACTTCAGTTGTACTCAAGCCGTAAATAATGCAATAGAGTCCTCGTTTAATTCAAGTGAAGGTAACAACTTGTATTGCCGTGGAGAAAACAATGCTCGCTATGTTAAACACAATAATAGTGGTACAGAATCTAGTAACTGTAATGCCAATAATCAAACAAGCTCAGGATATAGTCAAGATAGTGCAGCATTTAATACATCTTATCAGGGTCTTATCAACCATCTTATGGTACAAGCTGTTCGAGATAATTCACAGATAGAACCTCAAATACTGAATGGTGTTGCAATCAAAACAGAGCCTCAGATGGACTTTGGCTATGGACAAGTTACTGTTACTCCACAAATTCAGGAGAGCTATAGTCAGCAACAGTACATATTAGAAAGTTCTATCTCCTCTGCATCAAATGAATCTCAAAATACTCAAAACTGCCAAGTAGTCCCACAAATGTACCTTTATCAGAATGGAAGTGAATCTTGTAACTCTTTAAATAATGGCACTACAGAAAATCAAGATACAAACACAGCTTCAGCATCAAATGATGATTTAACAAATAATTCGCAGGTTGTAATGCAAGCAAAAAGTAAGTGTGAATCATCCTCAAGTTCAAGAAGAAAAGGCAAAAGTTACAGAGTAATTGTCAATGAACCTGAACCTGAAAACGAGACAACTGATAAACAACTTTCAGATGATATAGCTGAAAACCCACCTCCCGAATCAAACAAAATATTCAGTAAATCAAAATTAGATACATGTAGAAAGACTAGTAGATTAGGATCATTACTGGATGAAAAAGTTCGCAAACTTCATGAACAAGCAAAAGCATCAAGTGAAGTTGTTGAAGACCTTGATGAACCATTAATGAAAATAGGAGAGTTCCAAATAGTCATGAATAAGGGAGAATGATATATAATGGATGGATATATAATAACTAGTAGTTATCAACAATCTTTTGATATTGTTGTGTAGTATTTGATGGTTTTGGTAATCTCTTTTGGTACAATGTTTTTTTTTGTTAATGATATGTCCCATTTGCATGACCAACAGCTCATTGTATTATATTATTAGAAGTTTTGACATTCTTAAAAAGGTTCTAATTAACTATTGATGGTGGTTATAAACAATCTTTTGCTAGGTAGATAGGCTAATTCTGTGTTTTAAACAAATACGTAAATTTCCTCGGCTAAGTTTTCATTTAATTGTATATTAATCAAAGCTGGTCTTTGCTGGTTCAGACATGCATGTTATTTTGCTTTTTGTTTAATGCCTTGTGCATTATATATTTTCATCTCCCAATTTTTATACCGGTACCCTATATCGGGTCTTCTCTTAAAATGAAATAATTGAATTAATGTGCATTATATGAAGCAGTGTTCTAGGATTTAAGGGCAGTGGGGCACAGTTTTAATATGAAGGGCATGCTAGTACAGTTTCTTGCCTGACAAAGGGATCATGTTTAAAGTTTAAAAAAATTAAACATATTTGTGCTAAAATTAATGTCATGAACATGATGTGATGAATGTATTTAAGCTTTTCCCAATAGTTAAACTTTTTTTTTTTATTTTACTTCTGAAAGCAAAAATGAATAGGACAGAAGGGTGAACAGAGCTGTGTCCCTCTATTTTGGGTTAGCTAGGAAAGGGTGTAGACATTTTGGATGATGACTAATTTTGAGTTTCTCACATTGTCCTGTTTGAATCAAAAAATGTCTTCGGTAAGAATGTTAAATTATAAGTTCTTTCAAAAGGTGTCATATTCTTATAAAAAGTAGTTGATTCTTTGTTGCAAAGCACATAGAAAACAAGATCTAGTGAAGCTGTTTATACCCATATTGAACAATATTTATTTTAAATTGACATACTAGTTAGAAGCACTTATGGAGATTACTGATAGTGTTTCTTTCTCAGACCTTAGGCCTATGTAACATTATGGTCTTGTTTTAAAAGAAAATATACTACTTCTAGTCATTGGACCGAAATATAGAATTGAATGTTTTGCATATATTGGAGAATTCTGTTTTTTGCTCTTGATCAGGCTGATTTTGTGCACTGACTTTGTTTATAATGGTTTCAGTAAAAAGGACTAGATTTAGATAATATTTTGTATGAAGGCTGAAAAAATAAATCTCTTAGATGATTCATCAGACTTCAAGGAAATCTTATTTTGAGAATTGGTTACATTTTTCTGCATATACTGCACGATATATTACACGATAATTGAGTAAAAATGACTGGGCATGGATCAACATCAGCATGAGGCAACAATCAAAGACCTGTGTTGGTTGAGATATTGCACATTGACCTATATGTAAATAACAAGTAATAATCTGTTAAACACAAATTTCAATCATAGCAAAAACATTTCACTCTTTTTCTTTCTTCTTTATTTAAAAAAATTAATTTAGATATTGCTCCTTAAGAGCCTCTTGGTGTAAATATTTTAAACTAGGTGGATTGACAAAATGTGTCAACCACGCTTTTCAAGCAGAAGAGACCAGTGAAGCAAAATCACATTTTGAGCAATGATATCTTAAAAACAACTTGTGGCTCCAAAATAGTTTAGGGTTAACGTTAACAAAATGTTGTAATTTATGAAACAGAAGTTATTCAAAAAGCTAAAACTAAAAGCATGACAAATTTGTTGGGTGATCAATGCCACTTTTGTAGCACTCACTCTTTTTAAATGTTCAATTTAATTCTTGTAAATTGTAAATATTGCATTAAATAGGTTTCACCTCAATAGTATATGTACCATGTAGAAAGATCATGTGTTAGTGTAAAAATAGAATATTGAGTATGTCAAGCCAATGGGGCTTGTGCAATACATTTTAATGTTCATTTAAAGTCACATATTTTTAGTGCAATTTTTTTTGGATGTTGTATTTTGAGGAATTTTACTAGGAATTTGTTGTATTTGTTATAGATGAATTAGAGATTTACAGTAATATTTTACTCTTTTGAATAAATTTTTTAGAATTTTAATCAAAATTTCGAAAAATGTTGATGACAAAATTAGTATATAATATTATGAAGTGTCTAAGATGACCCTATTATGATCCACTATGTACAGCATTCCCTATAGAAGAGGTATGTTCAAATGTACCCACTACCAAAATAATATTTGATACACAACTGTTTTGATAGTGTGTATGATACATTTTCAGTTCCTTTTAGACCTCTATCATGTGACATTTATTTGTAAAAACAAAAAAAATAACTTTGTATATTGACAAATTCTTTGTATTTAGAAAAAAAAGATATGGTCAGACCTCTGATTAAAACAGTATTATTTACAGACTTTTATATAATATTGATGATGTTGTGTCAATGTTTTATAAATTTTTTGCAATAAACTTACATATACACAATTGTGTTTTTATTATGCCTCTGCCACAGCGGAATGGGCATCAAGTGTTACCCTTGTCTGAGTTTGTCTCAACTAAATGTTATGAAACTTATACACAATGCTTTTTACCACAAAACTCTGATCAAGTTCGAATTTGGTGGCGTCACTCTTAGTGTTCTTGAGGTATGTCCCTTTATAACCCTTTGTTCTACCTTCTAACATTGGTGTTTGTATTCATTACCTAAGATCTTAACTACTTTGCAACAAGTGAATTAATGTATCCATCACTTGTTATCCTCAACAAAATGATGGAACATTTTCAACAATAACATTAATTGCTTCATAAAACTTGTTAAATTTCATTTTTCTTCATTCCTATTTTCATATCCACTGAATGTCCTTGATTTTACAACAGCTGTATCATATAACACATTCATTTGTTCAAACAGGTCACTGGTTCAAGGGATTGTGTTAATAAATATCATTTTTAAACGCCAGTTTTTCGGGACGTATTATGGTATACCGTTGTCTGTCGGATAATAACTCAAAAATGCTTTGAGCAGTTTTCATGAATCTTTGGTGACTGGTTTATATCTATTAAAATAAGCTCCCTTTTGTTTTTTATAAATTTATTGAGGAGTAATTGAACTTTTTTTGTTGAAAAAGCGACAGGTTTGCTGTTTCTGTCAGTGTCTACAATTAGTCAAAGTATGTGATAAGGTCAGTTTAAGAGAAAACACAAATGGTAAGTCAATGATATTTGGTTTGCAGTGGTTTTAGCATTAGCAATTATTTTGAAACTTTTGCATAGTTTAAATGTTCAAGTTTGTGATTAGATCAGTTTAGGAGGAACCTCTAATGGTAAGCCCATGATATTTGGTATGCAGTTGTATAAGGATTAGCACATTTCATTTTCATGGAGATTATATGGCCCTCCAACTAGGATTATGGGGATTATTAGGGCTCTGCCTAGTGGCGGGTCGCCCTATAGTGATCAGTCTATCCTTCTGTAACAAATTGTGTCCGCTCTATATCTAGAGAACCGTTATAATTTCATTCTTTATACTTGACATGTATATTAACCAACACCAGAGGGTGTGTCATTATGTATGTACAACTTCCTAGGTCAAAGGTCAAGGTCAAAAACTTTGGTTTCAGTTGACAACCCCATGTCCTATGGTAAAGATACAAATTTTTTACCACACGTTATTTACAGCTGGGCCCACAGAGATGGCTTCCATCTCAATGATGTTTAGTTTGTTTTTTTTCTCAATGATGTCTAGTTTGTTTTTGTACTATTTTAATATAAACCTGTTGGATGACTGTTTTGGTGGTATTATACCTACTGGCGAGACATTTCTCTGTCTCAACACTTTATAATTTCTATAAGCTCAGATCTCGCTCGATTAGATGCTAAATATATGTCCCAAAATATTACATCCTCGTTACAGAAAAAAAACAACTCTCAATAGGTCATGGGTGGGACTAGTACAATAATATATTAACAAGGTCATGGCAAATCGGGTTTTTTTTCACGAAAATAATATTGGCAAATTATTAGAGTCTTAAACTTATTTAGAGCTAATTTCCTTATGCTTGTAGAGTGAGACTTTGGTTGGCTTACTTGCTTTGTTTGTATAAACGTTTGCTCAAGCATTGTAAATAAGATTGACATCTGCAACCAATATAAATAGGCGGAGTTAAACATGTTTACATTATACTTAAATTTGATTGAATGTTATCCTGGAGGTTAGAAAATTAGATCCTTTGTGACTTCACATATGCATAAAAAAAAGTTATAACAACAGCATTGTTCAAATTTGTTAAAGAAACCTTGTGGAAATACTAAAGAAAGGCTAGCAGGACAAGCAAAATACATCAAATCCTGACATTGTAGAAAATTTCATCTTGTGTTAAGAGAAGTTAGAGGCAACTATAGTTTACCGATGTTCAAACTCGTAAATGCATTTACGAAGGTAAAGATAAGATATAAAAAACAAGAATGTGTCCATAGTACACGGATACCCCACTCGCACTATCATTTTCTATGTTCAGTGGACCGTGAAATTGGGGTCGAAAAACTAATTTGGCATTAAAATTAGAAAGATCATATCATAGGTAACATGAGTACTAAGTTTCAAGTTGATTGGACTTGGCTTCTTTAAAAAACTACCTTGACCAAAAACTTTAACCTGAAGCGGGACAGACGGACGCACAGACCGAAAAACATAATGCCCTCTACTATCGTTGGTGGGGCATAAAAACACAAAAAAACGAGGGAATTAAATGATCTGCAAGAAGAGTGAGACCGAGTGCATCGAAAGGATAAGTGACTCCTTATGCATGTCAAAAAGTCTAAATAAGGAATAGGACATTATCGGTAAATGTATAGAGATCAGACGACTTTTCTTGTATTTAAATACGAAAACATGTTTCTGTGATTTGAGACATGGATACATTGTATCGGTCAACCTATTCGTAATGTGAAACAAGTAAAAGCGGAACGATTACCTTAATCTAAAACATTGTGTAATTCTATAAAAGATATTGTTTGAAGAAAATGTCCATATAGGACACTATGCCCTGCTCGCACTTTCAGATATCCTTCTTCAGTAACTTGACCTTGAAATCTGGGTCAAAACAAAAATTTGACTGACATATATATATATTTGATGAACATGACTGTGTACTAAGTTTCAAGTTGATGTGACCACAGCTACATTGCAAAACTACCTTGAACCAAAAATTTAACCTGATCAATTTTAATGATAATTTAGAGATTAACAATCCACTAAATCTAGGATTTCAGATAAAAGGGGTGTTTTAAGTTCACATCATAATGAAAATGTGAAATTAGTATCAAGTTGATGTGACCACAAATTCATGGTTAACTTCCTTAAATTACAACTTTAACCCGATATGTAACCAATGGACAGACTAGCAGAGTCATGGACCAGGATACTTAATGCCCACTACTATTGTAGACAGAGCAACAACTTTCAGGATGACCAACACTAAAAGCTTTTATGTGTATTTCAAATGACATTGTCTCTCATGCACGCTCCTATAAATAGTTTCGATTGTTTTTCTTACTTTTCTGATATAAATATCAAAACTTTTGGACGTCTATGATTATAATTTCGATCCATGACAAAATGTGTGTTATAATTTTCCACACGCCAGATCATTGTTTGTCTCGTCGTTGAAGGCGACACAAAGCGATTCCCACATGCATGCATTCCGTCGTGGGCGTCAACATTTTATAGTTTCAGTCAAGTTTTCTTAGACATCAATAACTTTGTCAAATAATCATTGAATATTACGAAATTTTGACAGAAGTTTTTCCGTTATCTAAAATATTTGTTTTTCATTTTTTCTGGTTTGTTAGCTGATGAAGGGACTTTCAAAACTTTCATTCAGTTTTAGAAAGCTTTTTCAAACATTTCTTAATAATTAAGGGATATCATCACGGGTAAATATTGATTTTCCACAAATTTTTCAGTATTTACAAAAAAAATGGACTTAGTTTTTTCAGCAGTCAACATTTAGGTACATGCTTTGGTTAAACTTTTAAAACTTTAATAACTTTGCCAACCATTCGTGATCAGATCGTCCTTAACATGCATGTGAAATATTTGTGACTGGACGTAAAGCAAACAACAATCAATCAATTAAGCAAACCTTCATGGAATTTTACAAAAAACGAACTTAGATCCCCTGCGAAACTTATATTTTGTTAGTATTCGTTGTTACTGTATTTCATTGATAAACGTAGTTTTTGGTAGTCAACATTACTCACTTTTACACTGAGAGCAGCAGTCTCAGGTTAGGCAGAAGGTACTGTTTGACCCATAGATATTTGTTATGGTTATTGGTCAGACATGAACAAATTTATATCTTATGTTTTACTTGTAAAAAAGTAAACCCATCCAACGTATACGATAATCTCTGTCAAGCCTTACATGCATCTAAATTTAAAACAAATTGAACATTGATGTCAAACTTAGCCAAAGATAATGAACAACTAACATTAAAATAAGGAGATGTGGTATGATTGCCAATGAGAAAACTATCCATCAACGTTCAAATGAAGTGGATGTAAGCGATTATAGGCGACCGTACGGCCTTCAACAATGAGAAAAACCATTACCGTATAGTCGGCTATGAAAGACCCCGACATGAAAAATATGAAACAATTCAATTTAGAAAACTAACGGCCTAATTTATAACAAAACAATTTACGAAAAACAAATATGACAGACATGAACCAACGACAACTACTGGTCAAAACAGTTCGATACAACGCAGAAAAACATCTACTAAATGTAACCAAAACACAGACCGGACGTTTCAGGGTTTTTATACATCCCTAACAACAAAAAAGACACATAGTACAGATATGAGAGTACTCGCATTTACTGACAACTAGTTCAAAGCCAATAACAACTAATAAAAGAAATAATGTATCTAAGACTTAAATATCAATCAGTACACATCCAAGATCCAATATATGTTATGCGTTGACCTTCCTATTGTTACGTTCTCCATATAAAGTTAAATGTATTTAAGGCACTCAGCATCTGATAACTAATCTTGCTTAAATTGGAATTACAGCCTAAATTTCTCTTTAATGCATCCTCACACCAAATTACTTTATGTCATTAATTGCCTCACAAATGACCGGGCCTAATACTTACACACAGAATGGTAGGTAAGGGTGACCTACTTTTTGGGTGGGAATGTAACAGACTTTGGAAGCTGCACCCCCAAAACTCAAATTGCATCATTGTATCCAAAAACTTATCTATATTGAAAAACTAACCACCCAAAGGAATACAAGTATCTAGTTAAATTTACTAGGCAAATAATTAAACTTACTGTCCATGGGATTACTAGCCATTCTAGTAAAACTTACTAGGTAGAAAGTAAACTTACTGTCCATGGGATTACTAGCCATTCTAGTAAAACTTACTAGGTAGAAAGTAAACTTACTGTCCATGGGATTACAAGCCATTCTAGTAAAACTTACTAGGTAGAAAGTAAACTTACTGTCCATGGGATTACTAGCCATTCTAGTAAAACTTACTAGGTAGAAAGTAAACTTACTGTCCATGGGATTACTAGCCGTTCTAGTTAAATTTACTAGGTAGAAAGTAAACTTACTGTCTATGGGATTACTAGCCATTCTAGTAAAACTTACTAGGTAGAAAGTAAACTTACTGTCCACGGGATTACTAACATTCTAGTAAAACTTACTAGGTAGAAAGTAAACTTACTGCCCATGGGATTACTAGCCATTCTAGTAAAACTTACTAGGTAGAAAGTAAACTCACTGTCCATGGGATTACTAGCCATTCTAGTAAAGCTTACTAGGTAGAAAGTAAACTTACTGTCCATGGGATTGTCCATGGAATTACTAGCCATTCTAGTAAAACTTACTAGGTAGAAAATAAACTTACTGTCCATGGGATTACAAGCCATTCTAGTAAAACTTACTAGGTAGAAAGTAAACTTACTAGAAGGACTAGTAAATTAACTAGAAAGACTAGTAATTTTTACTTGAAAGACTAGTATAGCAAATAAGCAAATATAATAGCTAGAATTTCTCCTTTAATAAGTCAGCTAGTACATCGACTAGGTATGTCAAGGGCTTTCAGTGATCTGATGCCTAATCTAGAGTCAACTGAATAAAAGCTAGTGAAATCACATGAAAAACTTTTTCTGGAAGGTATTAAAAACTCTTGTTAGATGTATGTACCTTCATACCAAATTGCAAAGTTGCTGTTACGTTTATCATTGAGAACTGTTTTGTGGACGGCTACAGACACCGAGGGGCATTTTTCATTTTCCATGAAGCAAAGGACAAAAGACAGATATATAAATAATCAATTTTATTTCGACTGCTTTTATTGCACATCCGGCCTTGATTATCACTGCACGGCTAGACTTGACAGTTCTAGATCGAAGTTTCTATCGTTTCTTCTTAACATTATTATTCATTTACAGGTTTAAGTACACAGCCGCAGGCTGCTAACTGGCTATATAAAGTGGATATCTATGCTATAAAGTAAAGAAGTTTGATAGAAGAAGAAAAAGATAGATATCACAACATATATTTGTTAATTCTACAAAAATAAGAATAGTCACAAGCACGCGTATGGAAAACATTCTTGTAAAACATTTTGATGATCATGTGGAATTCAGTCATGCTAATGATTTAATTTATTAACGATTCCTAATGTGGGAAATGTTTATAAATCTTCATCACTTGCAGCTTGAGCCTCTGTTAATTCATATTTCTTTTCAATTCCTACAATTCCACAGTCAATAATTTTTACGCTTTTCTTTGGAACAGCTGTTCTTGAATCGGCTGGTACTTCACCAATGGTTCTAATTACATCCTAAAAATCAAACGAACATATATTAATTCTTTATTTATATTATCAGCATGCTTATTTATAATCATTTTTTAATGCAGAGAAGAAGCAATCGCGGGTCTCATAACTGCAAAATCGGTACCGTTAAAGTCATATGACAAAATCGTTGGGGTACTTTAAATTGATGGTCAAGTAAATTGAATGGCTTGTGAAAAACGATCAATATAAAGACAAGAAGATGTGGTATAATTCCCAATCCCGAGCAAATTTTCTTTTGTAAATTTAATGTTGAAATATTAAGACGTACCGCATATAATCAGTTGCACAGTTAACAATCAGATTGTTTTTGTTAAGTTTATTCCTAACTTTTATAGACTTGGGACGATTTAGAGTAGACACCTGTTTATTTATTTTGGTCGAAGATGGCAAATGTTAACCTTTAGATGCCATTTGGTTATTTTTGCAGAAATAGTTACTGTCACAATGACTTTTACCCACAAACATTTTTTTATCCATAACTATCTATAAGAATAGCGAATCATTATAGAACTAAATGGTGTTGGTAAGCATCATATGTCTTTTCGTGATGGAAAGAAAAGTTTGTAACGAATAACGAGAAGGTTTTTAACGAATAAAGGGAAGATTTTAAGCATGCCAAAACAAACGTTATTTCAATCTTATAAAAATAAGGAGATGTGGTATGATCGCCAATGAGACATTTATCAACCAAAATTCAAATTAATTGAATATAAGCAATTATAGGCGACCGTACGGCCTTCACTAATCAGAAAAACCCATACCGTATAGTCGGCTAGTAAAGGCCTCGAAATGAAAAATATGAAACAATTCAATTGAGAAAACTAACGGCCTAATTTATAACAAAACAATTTACGAAAAACAAATATGACAAACATGAACCAACGACAACCACTGAACTACAGGCTCCTGACTTGAGACTGGCACATGAAGAATGTGGCGGCGTTAAACATGTTTGAAGGCACAAACCCTCCATTAACCTGGCACAGTGGTGCAACAGTACAACATAAGAGTAAACTATAAAAATAAGTTGAAAAGGACGTATCTCATCAGATTGATACAAAGCAGAAAAACATCTAACAAAAACACAGACCGGACGTGGCAGGGTATTTATACATCCCTCACAACAAAAAAAACTACAGATCTGAGAGTACTCGCAGTTTAGCTATTGATTAACATTAATCATTGAAAAAGGCTAACAATACACATAATTAAAACCTTGAGAATAATGAAAACTTACCATTCCTTTAATAACTTTTCCGAAGACAACATGTTTTCCGTCCAACCATCTTGCTTTGTTGAGGAGAATAAAGAACTGTGAGCCGTTAGTGTCTGTTCCGTGGTTAGCCATGGATACGTATCCGGCGGCTTTGTGGCTGATATCGAAGTTTTCATCAACAAATGTTGGTCCATAGATACTTTCACCTGGAAAAAATACATCAAGACGTGTTTCAATTAATAATATTCTCCCAAGATTATTTATCATCCTTTGAACAGAACGGTGTGCATCATATTTTGGAAAAGATTAGTGGTGTGTGCATAAACACTGAATGTTAACTGTCGACACTAAATTAATTTCCCAAGAAATAGACAAAGTTTTATATATTCTAATTTGTTATTTTTTTAAAGGTTATTATTTAGTGTAACGCTCATACGGCATTTGATAGCAAAGAAATGTCGTGTGTACTTCCAGAGTACTTGAAGGAAGCCAAAATGCAATATTTGCAGGAAGAAAAAACACTAACCTCCAGTACCATCTCCAATAGTAATGTCACCCATTTGAATGATAAAGTCGGGAACAATTCTGTGAATAGGTGATCTTTTGTAGCTCAATTGTTTCTTCTGTAATAAAAAAAAAAAAAAAAAAATGCATAGTTGTTTTATTTTCAGAATGTAATGTCAGAATGGTCACCTAGTTTTATATTCCTAAAAGTAGACAAATTTATGTATTTCTAAAATTATTCAACTATTTCGATTTCCTCTAAAAATAGCAGACATATAATGCTTTAATTATATTTTATTTTTCTCTGGTATATTTTTTATGTCTTTTTCATCAACTGAGATAATTCATTTTATATTTGCTACGTGGCTGTGGAAATTATACAATGGCTGCGACATCTGTCACGCCTTAACAACAAAGGATAGAAAACCTAGTCTATAAATTCTATAAACCCATTGATTAGTAATATGTTTAAATTTATTATTTGGTCTATCAAGATATGATCTATGTGCAACATGTTGTTTTATTGGAGAAAAGATCTGATTTTTTTCAATAAATCAACGCATTTTGCAAATAAACATGATTAATTGAATTTTATTGCCAAACGGTTGTACTGGAATTTTAAGCATGACAATTTGTATTTGGATTTGAAATTCTACAAGGCGACGTTTCCCTCAATATAACATTGTTATAAACGCAATGTTTACTTGTTATATTTTATTGTTAATAAACTTTAAATTTTATATGTTGTTAAGTGATGTTAAAAGTAAATAATTTATCCGCAATACATGTGCCTCAACAAATAAACAGTTGACTGTTTAACGTCCAGTGGCAAATTAAATAAGGACGAGAACATGTTAATGCGATATGACATGAACCCCGCTTAGCACTAGACCGACACACTAAGCCGGATATTAAAGGCTCTGGTTCACAAGGTAGCAAATCCGCAGGACGATATGTTACCTTACTCGGACACATTGTTCCGACTCCGAGCCTACCACTTTTTGCTCTCACTGCTTAATACCGCGTGCTTAGCGGGGAAGCAGAAACTTCAAACATTTAAAAGTCTTTCGTTTGAAGCGCAAAAACGTGTGGTCTGTTTATGAACTGGCTTTATTACAACTCAACCATCCTACTATTTTTTGCATATGTCTATTTTCATTCGTCCTGAAAATGCACGAAAGTTTTGGTTTTGGACGTTAAGCAAATAACTATTACATTTGGGTAATTTGTTTTAAATTATTGAGCATCTTACATTCAAAATCAAACTATGTATTTCTGGATATTAAAAAAACAAAAACTTCCTAATCTAAGTATTCCGATAGGAGATAATATAAAACTTACTGTTCCTCTTTTGTAACCTTTAGCTAGTGACTGGAAGTTCATTGAGGTCATAGGACATTTATCTCCAAATACAGCCACAACAAATCTGCCTCTATAGTCCTCCCCTAATCCATCATGGTCCTTTACCTCTACATCAAACCAGATCTCCTCTGTTACTGTGTAGTTTTTGTGTGCATTTGCCAGTGAGACAAGCACTGCAATTACTGATGCTAAATTTAACCAAGCTGCCATGACGGGCTGAAAAATTGAAGGAAACGGTTAGTATTTGTACCATTTTTTTCTTCTGGTGTATTCTCAATAAAACTTGAACACACAGAGACAGAAATTACAATATTAAAAAAAAAGATATTCCCTATTCATTTTTCAACCGTTTACCTAATTAAATTTTAAAGATTATAAAAAAAATACCAATACGTAAATGACGATATTGATAATAGATTATAAATTAAAATTGGTATCTTATTATTCTATTTCATTCAGATATGAAAAAAACAATTAAAATGTAATACCGATAACTAATAATTTCATTTAATCATTTTGAATTTGATTACCATAAGAAATAATTATCCCTACCTGTTTTTTCTATCCTTGAGGACAAGATAAGATGACAGTTAAATGACAAAGTGAACGCATCAAAGTTCGATTCCTTCTTATAAGGAAAAGAATCGGCCACGAAAACGAATACATCACAACGAATCATTATCCAAACATCTGTTACGAGTCAATAAAAGCATATCCGATCGGTACACGTTCCGAACTAAACCAAAGGTACGTTACGTTCATGTGGCAAAGAATAAACGTGGCAAACTGATTTTTGTTCATTTAACTAAACCAATTGTCAAATTATACTTTTAGGTATAAACCAGTGATGACAGAAGTTATTTAGTCTAGGAAGGAACAAATATGGTGAGACTAAGGCTGCTAAACGGAAATCATTATACATTTGTCAATATTAAAAATCATATAAATTTTCTGTAATCCCCAATTACAAATTTGTGTATTATAATCCAATTTGAAGCAAGAATGATTTTATATGGTTTTTTTTCACTCACGCAAATTGATATTCTGAAATTCACTCGATACTATTAATGTATTCATATTACATCTTGTATTCTTTGGTGTCAATAATCCTTCTTTAAAATAGGTAAAATAGTTGCAAAACTGGAATTAGAATTACATTGGCAACTACTAAATGGATATACATAACGTACAACAAAGTTAATAAACAGGAATAAAACACTATTAGAAGGATTGTAGGTTGTATACAATTTACAAAGGTATATATGAAAATAGGAAATGAAAACAACACGTTATAAATTTCATGCGTCCGAGGCGATTTTCAGGATTTACCTTCATCAGGAACGCTGAAAGCCGAATATTTGAAAGCCAATGATGTATAAGGACCGAAAAAGTTGAAGAGTTATATGACGAAAAGGGACCTGAAGAAAAAGCCAAATCCATCTAAGGTCAACTTTGCCTGAGGGAGTTGAAACCTTAGTTTCTTTATGATTTCAAAATTTATATACGGTCAATTTTAGAAAGGTTGATTATAAATCATATCAGTACCGAAGGTGTGGTAAGATTGCTAATGAAACAACTATTCAACAGAGACCGAAGGACAGGTGTGTTAAAACAACTAGAGGTCCCCGTCATAAATGAGCAACACCAATACCGTATAGCAGGCTATCATGAAGAAATGTGAAACAATTCGTACGAGAAAACCAATGACCCATATTACTCAATTGCTGTCGCCAGGCGAAATTTGACAACTCGGCTATGGTAAGGGGAGACTAGGTTATATATAGACTTGTGTTCAAGTAAGGCAATTTTACTAATTTCAAGTCCTACAAAAATTGGTAGTTTATCTGGCTTTGATATTTGCCGACTGCTTAAGATATTTCTAAACTTGCAACACTTACACATGCAGTCAAGTTTTTCCAATTGAATTATCTTGCCTAGAGGAAACCGACTGTTGTCTTTCATATTGCCAACAAAAATGGACTAATTACAATAACTTATGACTGCTGTCCTATATGAGAGGAAAGAGGCATGATAAAGCGAATAATGTTATTTCATAAACTAATAAGTGCTCACACTTTGTGCTGTAGCTTGTAACTTTTATAAAGATCATAGTTGTATTCTTACTTATCAGTCCTATTGTCAATAGAAATTTTGCTGGTTTCTTGTAGGATTTTGCTAAACAATATATATTCAGTGTTAAAGAAGGACATATTTCAAGATTTGTTTCAATTCTTTATTTTTGTCGATTTAACAACCTTATTTTAATTTGCTATAAATGATTTTTTGACGTGGCCGTTTAGTTCGTGAAGTATTATAAAGAACCAGGGCAATCAATTTTTGTACCATCTGTTGAAGATGAGTTGTAATGTACACGTTCAATGTCTTATTGTTAAAAATTAGGAAAACGTGGAAAACGATTTTGAAATGCTTTACATAAGACACGTTTTAATATAGTTATATTGTATAGAATGATCAATAGTCCAAATGTCTGGTGTATTGGATCATCTCAGTAGCTCCAATTCATCAAAAGTTACAATTGTATATACAGTAAATAAAAGATGGATTTTCTAATTCATCGAATAAAATATTATCCGAAATCATTTACAAATGTGTAATAAATCTGACATGTTTACATGTACAACTTGCGAGAAATCTTGCAAATATAGATTCGTGGTTTTTGTTGTAAAAGTTTTAATACATAATACATTCTGCATTCTAAAATTTGCGCTTCAACAAGCCAATGATCCCGCCAATTGTTTTGCCATTTTTTCGTTAATTATGTCTACTAGCGCGTATTTCGTTCATGTATGTCAATGAAGTTTATTCGCAAGCTCAAGAAATGAATCCTCGATTATTATTGTGATCCCTGGGATATGTTTGATATCTTAAAGAAAGAAGGTGCCGGGTAAGCCCCTTAAGTGCACTGAATTGTTAACCTTATATATCAAAGAGCAATACTTGACTTTTGGGATATGTCTTTTGGTAAAATAAAATCATACTGCGTTCAATTAAATACTTTTTCTTGAAATCAGTGTGAATTTATGTTTTTTTAACGAAACGTATGAACATTTTTTCTAAATTACAGATATTTCAACGGTATGAAAACCATAGTGTGGTTACGTTCAAATAACACGATCTTTTAAATACACGTTTGTATTTCTATATTTGAAAGTCTTAACCTGTTACATGAACGCGGCCAATTTCAAAATTTCAGAAAACCGGCGGACACAAATCATATAAAAAGTAGTGTGGGTTACGTTGACAGCATCTTGAACCTTTGTAATGCCATTTGAACATTATGCCATTCATAGATCTAGTTACTGTCTATATCCACGTAGCGTGTCCCAGCGCAAAAGACCGTATGGAGACATCAACATATAGCCTATTTAAATTATAGTCGAAATCTATGAGCACATTTTAATTGGTGCTTAGTTTTATAGTACTAGCGAATGTAGGGTTATTCATTTATATCAATAAATAGTATGTGTGGCGTTAGAAATTACATACTCCTCTTTTAATGAAATACATCTATTAAGCTATCAAAAGACGGACTTCACAACCAATTTCTTTCAAAGCAGTTTTCTGTTATGCATTGTTTTTATCATGCTTTTTCAAATTGCTTTTATACTGTATCGTGGTTTCATTTTATAATCTACCTGCGTTGTGTCTTTAAGAATGAACTGTTTCTATTGCAAATTTCAATCCTGTTGAGTTTTCAAGACAAAATTTGACCCCACTAATGAGGTAATAGTTAACATTAGATTCATGGCAAAATAACACCTGTTAGTACAGTCGGAATGTATGAATAGCTGATTTTTTGTTTATGTCAGAGTAAAATGTATAAATGTATTAACCAGGAACGCCCCGGACCAAAGTTAGGAAAACATAACGACGTATGAGGATATAGTAAAAAGAACATTCAAGCCCAACTAATTTGGGAATTGCAACCTTTATAGGCTTTCCTAAGAAAAGATATTCGACATGAATTTGATTCGTGCATTGAGTCAGTTTTATCATATTTATGCTTGTAATGATTAAGTCACAGCGTTGAAAAATAAACTTTAATGTATTACTTAACTTTTTTCATTTCCTTGCTTCGGATTCATTTAAACGGGTTCACCCGTTTGTGCGATCCTTCTCCGCCCGCGCACTGTTTCCGCACCTCTCTTCGATAATCTATATTTTGATAGAATGAATTGTTCGTGGAATCTTAAGTAACTAATGGCACTGTGCACTGCTTTCTTTGTTTTTATCTAATTAGGAGGGGGTCAGTTGTCAAACATTGCGATATAGGTATCTTATCTTGTTTCAACAACTTACAAAATTTCAATCCTGGTATCTATGATGAGTTTATTTACAACCACTGGGTCGATGCCACTGCTGGTGGAGTTTTTATTCCCCGAGAGTATCACCAGCCTAGTAGTCAGCACTTCTGTGTTGACATGAATTATCATTGATATGGTCATAATTATAAATTAACTGTTTACAAAACTTTGAATTTTTGAAATACTAAGGCTTTTCTACCTCAGGAATAGATTACCTTAGCTGTATTTGGCAAAACTTTTAGGAATTTTTGGTCCTCAATGCTCTTCAACTTCGTACTTTATTTGGCCTTTTTAACTTTTTTTTATTCGAGCGTCACTGATGAGTCTTTTGTAGACGAAACGCGCGTCTGGCGCAAATACAAAATTTCAATCCTTGTATCTATGATGAGTTTATTTACCTGAACCACTGTCTTGTATTTCAATTTTTTTCATGCCTTATGCAATTCTGGTTTGTGGTTTTCTATAAAAAAAAAACTTGTTGTAGCTCTTAATTTTTTTGCAGTTGTATGAAACAATTTTTCTACCACTTTGGTCAAGTTTGGTTTGAATTGACTAAATCATATATCAGATTGAAAGTGCCCAAGTTCCAAAGAATCATACGGCGATAAAAATATGGTGGAACTAGTTTCATATGAATTGTATAGATCACTTGATATTTATGTCTTTATGTGTTAAAGAATAGTTGAAATAACAATTCAGAGGTTCCTAATAAAAATGTTGTGCCTTTGCATGGTTCCTAGCATTTTGATCATATATCAAATAATTTCATTCAAGCACATGTAAGTCATTGAGAAAAATATTTTGCATTTCCAATTGGGAAAACTATGCAACTACAAATGTGAAACTCAGTAAAACCTGGCTTTGCCAACTGATGCTCCCCAAACTGCACATTTATTTAGAAATAATGTTTTAGATTCAAAGGTTCAAAATGCTAGTGTGCTTGGAAAGAAAGATAATCATATACTTTTATTGCTATATTTGCCTGTATATATGTGTTAAAACAGTGGGATACCACCCCGAAACCACTGAACAACTAGTAAACAAATTTCTACGTCTAGTAACAGTAACAGCGACCTTGACCTTTGACCTATTGAACCCAAGTTTAATAGGCTGCTCCCCATTCCTATATCTTTCATCTATATACTTTTCATTCAAATCCAGCAAACGAAAATGAAGCTACCATCTGCAAACATTTTTTTTTTCTATTTTAGTAACATTGACCCTGATCTTTGACCTATTAACCTAAAATCGATAGGCTTTTTCATTTCCCTATATCTTCCATCTGTAAAAGTTGTCATTCCAATCAAGCAAGCAAAACTCAAGAAGCCATCAGGAAACCATTTTTCCAGTTTGTTTATTATTAGCAAGTGAACTTAATCTTTGACCCCAAAATCAACAGGATCCTACCCCTTCCCTGTATCTTTTATCTGTATAAGTTTCATTTGAATCAAGTAAAAAGAAACTCATGAAATGGTTACAAATCCAAAATAAAGAGCTGCACCGGGAGTGCATGATACGCCCGTAGCTTTTTCAAAGAATAAAACTCCATTCCTCCTCAATGTGATATCAGAAATTTATAAAATACTAAAGAGCTTATTTTAATAGATATAAACCAGTCACCAAAGTTCATGAAAACTGCTCAAAGCATTTTTGAGTTATTGTCCGAGAACTGGAAAATCCCTCCTTTTTCAGGAATAAAATCCCATTACTCAGAAACAAAATGTAAAATTTATAAAAATCGAAAGGGAGCTTACGTCAATAGATATAAATGAATTCACCAAGGTTTCATGAAAATTGGTTAAAGCGTTTTTGAGTTATTGTCCGATATGTTGACGACGGACGGACAGACAGACCATATTAATACGTCCTGTAAACGGGCGTATAAAAACATTTTCCACAAATTTTTTTTCAAGTTTGACCCTAAAATCAAAAGGCTTCTTTCACTTACCTATATCTTCCATCTGTATAAGTTTTGTTCCAATTAAGCAATGACTACTCAAGTTATTATTTAGGAAACCATTTGTTTCAGAAGAGTTATCAAGGCCGTAACTAGGCATGTTATTTTAGTGAGGCAGAACCAATCGCCGAGCAGAGCGAAATGAAAAAATAGAGCCGAGCGTAGGGAGGCGAAAAATTTCGCAGGTGTCTGGGATAAATGGTGTAAAATCCTTCATTCTGGGCATTTCCAGAGAGCTTGACATCGTTGAAACAAGCCGTCCGGTGTTTTTATTTTTGGACACTTTTTATATATTTTTCATATTTTAAGACATGTACTAACATCAAATTTTTAACAACTTTATCTAAATTTATATGTCGGATAAACATCCAAATATCAATTTGAGTCTGCCGCCAGAACACAGAACAAACATCGACTCAGTAGCAATTGTTATTCAAATTGGAGTTTACCAATTTTTCTATGGCCGGTTTCGTCAAATCGTTTCAGAATATTTGGTCTGCTGACATACTTATTGTGATGAACATGAAGCATGGCAAGACCGCACAGTCTCTCACCACTCATGCTAGTCCAAATAATTATGACGTCTTGAAAGGCTATTTTGTTTTTTATCTGGGACTCACTTGCCTCAATGGTAGTTACGGCCTTGGTTATCCAATTTTATCTTACTTACTCACATTCCATAGCTGGTCCTGAACATTAAACATGCATCCGTCATCATCATCATATTCCATAAAAAATATAACACAGCAAGACAAGTTGCATGCTTAGTCCAGCTAGTTTATTTTTACCTTTTCCGGAAACTGATGTTACCTTACTCTATGGCACTGTTAGAATATTTTTTTAAATATAAAGGACAAGAAGTACATGTGAAACAGTGGTAATTTCCATTGTTTTTCACCGATAGTTAATGGTATGTGGTAACAAATTCTTTATCCATGTTTTATAAGACAACTGGCTTTCAGGAACTGGCTATCATCATGGATGAAAGTACAGAAGGTGCTAAAGTCTGGATATCAGGAAAAATTCAATATTTTGAATGGAATACATAGAGGCAAAAAATTTCAAATTTTGCAAATGCTGCAAATTCCTGATAAATTTCATGCTTGTATCATCAACAACTTCTTTCAGAAATTATATAAACACTTGTAAAAATAATGATTTATAGAAGTGAGAATGAAAACAAGGGGATGTGTCAAAGAGTCAACAACTAGACCATAGAGCAGAAAACAGCCAAAAAAACAACCAATGGGTCTTTAACGTGGCGAGAAAATCCCTCACCTGGAGGTGGGCTTTAGCTGGCCCTTAAAAAATGTATACTAGTACAGCAAAATGGACGCCACACTCAACCCAAAACATATAAATGAACCATAAGAGTGCACACGCTGAAATGTCTCGCCTGTTTTATTTACCATTGATTTTATGTTGAAAGTCTTAAAGATAAAGATTTTACTACAAGTATCACATAAACTTAACACTTTTAAAGATCAATGACAATGACGTCAAGGTCAGATAAAAACTGTCACACAAACATGTACACCTTACAATTATTGCATACACCAAATATAGTTGACCCATTGCTTATGGTAATTGAAAAACAGACCAAAACACAAAAACTTAAAATTGACCGATGAACCATGAAAATGAGGTCAAAGTCAGATGACACCAGCTAGACAGACATGTACACCTTACAATCATTCCATACACCAAATATAGTTGCCCTATTGCTTACAGTACTTGTAAAAAATACCAAATCACAAAAAATTAACAATGACCAATGAATCATGAAAATGAGGTCAAGGTCAGATGAAACCTGCCAGTCTGACATGTACCCCTTACAATCATTCCATACACCACATATAGTTGACCTGCAGCTTGTAGTATCTGAGAAACGGACCTAATCACGTAACTTTAACCTTGATCACTGATCCATGAATTGAGGTCGAGGTCAAGTCAACCCTTCCTGACGGACATCAGCTAGACAGACATGTACACCTTACAATCATTCCATACAACAATTAGAGTTGACTTATTGCTATTAGTATTTGAAAAACAGACCAAAAACACAAAAACTTAACATTGACCAATGAACCATGAAAATGAGGTCAAGGTCAGATGACACCAGCTAGACAGACATGTACACCTTACAATCATTCCATACACCTAATATAGTTGACCTATTGCTTACAGTACTTGTAAAAAAGACCAAATCACAAAAAATTAACAATGACCAATGAACCATGAAAATGAGGTCAAGGTCAGATGAAACCTGCCAGTCTGACATGTACCCCTTACAATTATTCCATACACCACATATAGTTGACCTGCAGCTTGTAGTATCTGAGAAACGGACCTAATCACGTAACTTTAACCTTGATCACTGATCCATGAATTGAGGTCGAGGTCAAGTCAACCCTTCCTGACGGACATCAGCTAGACAGACATGTACACCTTACAATCATTCCATACAACAATAAGAGTTGACTTATTGCTATTAGTATTTGAAAAACAGACCAAAAACACAAAAACTTAACATTGACCAATGAACCATGAAAATGAGGTCAAGGTCAGATGACACCAGCTAGACAGACATGTACACCTTACAATCATTCCATACACCAAATATAGTTGACCTATTGCTTACAGTACTTGTATAAAAGACCAAATCACAAAAAATTAACAATGACCAATGAACCATGAAAATGAGGTCAAGGTCAGATGAAACCTGCCAGTCTGACATGTACCCCTAACAATCATTCCATACACCACATATAGTTGACCTGCGGCTTGTAGTATCTGAGAAACAGCCCCAATCATGTAACTTTAACCTTGATCACTGATCCATGAATTGAGGTCCAGGTCAGGTTAACCCTACCTGACGGACATGAAGACGTTGCAAGGAACCCAAATACCAAATGTAATTATCCTATTACTCATAAGTAAAAAATTAACATGACAAAAAAACTGTTATTTTTTTTCAAGCGGTCACTGAACCATGAAAATGAGGTCAAGGACAATGGGCATATGACAGACAGAAACTTCGTAACATAAGGTATCTGCATACAATGTATGAATCATCCAGGTCTTTGTCCTTCTGAAATATAAAGCTTTAAACAAATAGTTTACGCAGCCGCTGGATAGTGATACCTATGTCTCGCATATTGCGACTTTTGTATAATGAAATATACAAACTGAAACAATCCATTTATATACTTAACTGTCAAGGTTTGTTCTCAGATTAGTCTTAAACTGTTGTTCAGGAAGATATTGATCGTTTTTTTGGTGTTTAAATGCCACTGTCAGCACTATTGGCTATTTCATGGCCACCTGTTTTTATTGGTTGAGGAAGCCCCAAATGCCCGGAGAGAACCATGACCTTCTTCAGGAAAACTGGCAATGCTAGTAAATTAAGACTGGAGTCGAACACACCTGCCATGTCCATAGTTCAAACTCACAACCTCAGTTAGACCCCTCTACCACCGAGCCCACTCCAGGTAGAAAATAAAAACAAATATGTTCTTCATATGTGTTGATTTGATTTATTCATTTGACAATCAATATACATACATCAACAGAATCTTACATAAATTATCAATAAAATGATTGCACCATCATAACATCTATGTTACTACAACTGCAGTTTCTAAAACATGATCAAAAGTCACAGAAATAGATTTTTTTTTTTAGAAATGGTTAGAACTAATTGGTCCCAGTGGTAGCCAACAATAGTTATTTTTTTCCGTAGGAAAAACTTTCTTTATTAAGAGTTTTAAAAAAAAGAAAACATCTCAAGCAGGTTAACCTGATTTTTGCACAGTTTTATAAAATTTGTAACAATTAGGTGAAAAATAATTATAAAAAATCTAAACAGTTTCTGATTTATTGTAAAGGAATTATGTAAAAAAAATCAGATCTGCACATAAATGTGTATAAACAATACAAACCAGATGACCATTAAATAACTATAAAATTACAATAATCTTATTCAAAAGACAACAAAATCAAAATCAGTATTTGTTTCCTTTAGACTTCCATATACATTTTTTGCCAAAAAACAGAAAATGACCAAAGTTGGTGGTAAAGAGATGCTTAAATGAGTCAATAATATAATGAAGAATGCATCTTCCATTTCAAAATATGTGAGCAAAGCCTTCATATCAAAGTTTTTCGTAGATATTCGTAATGTAAATATTTAAAGAAAACAACCTTTGGTATGCATGCTAGTTTCGTATACAATTTTCATTATAAGTTGAACTTTCTACATACATGTATATACATACACAAGGTAAAAAAGGACGGTAACTTGTTTCTTTTGCAAGTGCCATTAATTTGGAAATGGTAATTTTCATACAAATCTTCTCTATTAAAATAAATAATCTAAAATATCCTATGATAAGCAAACTAATAATCAAAATTATTGGGGAAAAGAACTAATGAGAGCATACAAACAAGTCAGATACCAATAAAATCAAGACGTCTTGACATGCTAATTCTTTACTTGTACAAACTGAAATATATCTTACTTATGTTTGAACTTTCTTAAATTTTGTGAAGAACACATATTTAGATGACTAAAAAAATATTTAGGAAAAAGATATTAACTGGCTGCTTTCTGCTGTTATAGTTACTTTTTCTGCAACTTTCTTTCCTTAAATATCCAAGGGAGATAGCATCCAAGATAATTCATTTAAATGATAGCACTAAATTATCAAGGGGTGGTCATTTATAACCTTCAAGTTAAGGAAGATAACAAAAAATACAACAAGATGATAAACATAAGTTACCAAAGGGAGATAATGAGATAGCGTCTCACTTTACATAAGGAGATTGGTTTGAGGTCTAATTGGTATTTATCCCAAATATCCCTTTATTCGTATTCAAATGATTCCTTACGTAATTTTATAAAAGCAAATAACTGACTATCATTAATGGCCATGTTTTACTGATGTTTTCATTTAAGCATATAAGTAACATTAAAATACCTCAATCTGTTCTTACAATGCCCTTTTTAAAAAAAAATCATAAACATCACTGAACAATTTCTAAGCATTATCAAATATGATTATTTCCTGTAACATTTTATGTAATAGGTGAATGATTAAATTGCATGAATAGTGAATAAGGATTGCAATGTTCATACTTTTAGGATTGAATGCAAATAAATGAAATCTATGCATGGACAGTGTACAAATCAAGGATATATAATTGTTGTTGTAATGACACATTTACCACACACAAAAACATTTAACCATTCAGATTTGTAAATGAGTTTTTACAAATGTTATATAACATGTATTAACAAAATTAAAAAATATTATCAGAAAAGTTAAACATTGCAAATGTTCCAATTAAACTAAATTTTAAACCTTTTTAACTGTAAATCTAAATGTTCATCATAGTCCTGTAGGTTTGTATTCTAAACCATAGTTTGGTGTTTTGAGATATTAAAAAAAATATATGATAAAAAAGAATAACTGGACTTTTATAAGTCTAATATAAAATGACATGCACTTGCTGTATGCAAGACAAATATATACACATATTCTTGTTAAATAAGTAAAACATTGCTATAAAAAAAAAAACTTTTCCTTTTTGTGATAAGATAAGCAAGGTATATACCATGTATAAATTTCATCACTGATAATTAAATAATTCAATGAAAAATATAACAAAACCTAATTGCACATAAATTACTTTTATTACTACAACAAACACTTACATAAAACAAACATGTTTAAAAAAGCTGATATAAAACAATTAATATAATAATTTCAATGATTACAATTATGACTGTTTCAAACTTCTTAAAATATGATATTAAAACATTTATTCATCAACTAACAATCTTTGCTTTCAGACATTAACAAGATATAAACAGTCTGCAACATGTCATTATTTAACTCAGACTGCAAAAGTAGCGATAAATGTTATAGTTGTAAATTGCAATATATAAATCTTAGCAGAAGTATAGTGTGCAATGGAATTTTACAAGTATAAATAGAAATAACAATATAAATATTTGAATTTACAATGTTGGACAAAAGACCAAAGGTTAGTGAACCACTGGATATAATGATCATTCATACTTCCATTTTTCCTATTTAACCACTGGCTGCTGTTAAAAGTCATTGTATCGTTTAAGCAATAACAAATATGAATAACAATTAAGAAAAAAATCAGCATTACTGTATTAAGTTTTACCCTGTGTTCCATTTTCATTGAATAATATTAAAAGTATCTATATTTCTTATTTTCTAGATACATGTATATATTTTCTTTTAGGTGATTTGGATAAATTCAATTTTTGTCAATGGTTTTGAGTGGAAACAGAAAACAATCAGGACTGTCCTTAAAGCTATCAACACTAGAGTATTTAATAAATAAGTGTATTTCATAATCAATATGTTCAATAGTAAAAGAAAATACATGAAATGTTTACATTTGAAAGCATAACTTCTAATCAATATCACAATATTCTTCTATGTACTAAAGTGTTACATGTAAAATCTATGCAACATATACATTAAATTAATTCATACAGTGTTGTCTTGTCATTTTACTAAATATAAATGCTTGTTTTATAGAAATGTTGTGATTGAAACTGTTTCCATTAATTTTCAGGCAAGCATTTTTGTGGTTCAAAAATGGCACATATACAAACATTCAGACCCAAAATCAGTATTTTAATCACCCAGAGGATTAAACATTGTAAAGTCACTAAATTCAGGTCCTCCAGGCTGTTGTAACATTTGTAACATATCACTGAATTCTTCTGTCTGCTGCTGCTGCTGTTGTGGTGTCGTCTGCTGTTGAGGTTGTGACTGCTGCTGTGACACGTCTGCTCCACCTCCCTGCCAGTGAGAAGCAGGCGGCCATATAACTGGCCCAGATCCACCAGCTGAGGAATGAGAGAAAGAATTAGGTTGTGAATTTGGTGCTGTCTGGTTACTTCCTAACTGGGTGTAAGTAGGGGCACCTGCTGAAAGAAAAATGAAATATCCAGTTTATTTTAAGTTAATAAATTTCAAAAAATTAAGTTTTCATAAAACCACATGAGTTCTAACTGAATCTTTGATAGAAGCTATCTGATTTTTACAGATTTACATAACATTTTGGAAAGAAACTAGGTCGTACTATAAGGTATCGGTTAGGTAGGTAGATAAACTAATTTAATTTTGAATATTTTAACAGGGCTAAGCAAAAATGTCCATAAATGTGTCTAAGATGCATGAGTTGTAATTGGTTTTGAACTACATTTTAGTAATTGGGAGTACTGTCAGATCAGTACATTGTGTCTAAGATACATGAGTTGTTATTGGTTTAGTAATTGGGAGTACTGTCAGATCGGTACATTGTGTCATTAGTCTTTTTGTTAGTTGTTCTTTGTGTCAATCTAATGAGTCAAGACTTTTTCAACTGATTTTTATAGTTTGTTCTTATTTTGTGCTGTTACACCACTGTCCAAGGTATGGGAAGGGTTGGGCGCCGACAAACATTTTCTGTATGTGCCTGTCCCAGGTACTTGTTTGTCGTTTATTGTTTTTGTACATAAATCAGGCCTTTAGTTTTCTTGTTTAGCCTTAGGGAAGTTTCAGTTTAATGCAAGACTGAATTTGAATAAATCTGATATTTACCTGGAGATGAACTGTTGGGACTTATTTGAGAAAATCCTGACTGTGAATTGTTGGTATAATCTGCTGCCTGTAATAAGAATGTTTACTTTATTAAATAAATTATAAATAGTTGTAACATACTGATGTCTGTACTATACTGTAAATAGGGAAATTTTAGCAGTTTTGTCTCAAAAGGCATGTGTTTTATTTTGGTGTGTGTAATTTTGGTGCTTCATCCAATTGATATGTTTAATTTTGGCACAATAGTAGTGAGAGAGCTTATTCATATTTGCCTTTATTTACTTGTTGATTGACAAAATATCAATGACCTACACAAACTAGGAACAAGACAAAGTTAACTAAATGAAGGAATCTGATACCGATGTAATTGCAAATAATTCCGTATCTCAGGGTTCAAAGCTAAAAGAAAATATGAAAATCAAATTTATACATTTTATTGACAATAAAACTAAAACATTAAAATCACTTTTTAAATAAGATTATTTATTTATTACAAAAATAGGACATTTTCTACTTAAGAGCATTGGGCTGTCTGAAATTAACGAACAACTTTTAAAGGACTAAAGATTTATAAGATTTTTTAAAACACACAAAATTTTTTCATGGGAATATTTGAAGAACCAGACTTACCATCTTAAAAGTAGCACTTATTATGCTAAAACTGTAAAAGCAGACTTGTTGAAAACCATGGTTCTTTACTTCATTGGTATGAACACTCACATTTTCCGGTTTTTTCTATTTTTAAATCAAATGATGATAAACTCATTCATAACTGAACAAGCCAAGAAAGGACAAATTTTTGAAATCAAAATAATTCATCACTGTGTATGTATACAAACCTGATTTTGTGAAAATCCTGCCTGGTTTTGCCATCTACTCTCTGGGTTTGGACTTCTCCTGAGATGTGACATGCCTCCCCTCCCCGAGGCAGATTGTGGCATTGACATGGAGGCAGAAACATTAGGAGAGGGGTATTTCATCTGTGCTGAAGAGTTAAACCCATACATGTCTTGCCCAACTTGTCTTGTACCTGTAAAAGATTATAAAATAATGTATAATATGATTATATTCTTTTGAAAGAAAATACAGGACACTAATTGACCTGGGAATTGCACCATCAATCCATACCCAGTGCTAATAAATGAATTTGTGATTTCTATTCTATATCATTATTGTAATGCAACAGAAATCTGAGTTCAATCTGTTAACCTGAAAATGTGAAGGTAAATCTAACTGTACATTTGAGGTTAATTCAGAGAAAATGAGTTCATGCAAGTATCAGATAGATTGATTGTTGGTTGCTTAATGTCCAGTGGCATGCATTTTAGGAGTTGTAGTTCATATAAATACACATTATGGTAAATTATTTAGTTGGTTATTGTATGTGCTCTATATTTGCTGGTTTAAAATACCAGTTGAAAATTGACCAAAATCTATGATTTTTTTCCCTAAAATTCATAGTATAGACTTTTTGATGATGTTACACCATTTATTATGGTCTCATGGATTGTAAGCTACCTATTTGGGATTTTGTATTATCTCATCTTCAAAATAAACATAAAACTCTTTACTTACTTGTGAGAACTGATGAATACCCTCCAGCCTCTGGATGATTATACTGGTTTGTATAGTCAGCCTTTGTAGAGGATGTCATTCCAAGATTGTCTGTTGGTAATGGACGAGGTGGATTACTGAAGGTATTTATCTGTGGATCTTGTGCCTGGTCAGCTGGATTTGGTATTCCTGACTGCTGGCCTGCTGAACCTTGTTGAGCTGTTCTATTAAACAAATGAAAAACTTGGTCAAATACAAATACTTAAGGGATTGTCAGCACTGAAGGATTAAATTTCCTTTTCTTTGCATTGTGCACTAAAAGAAATGGCGCTATTTCACATTCACATATACCGGTAATGTTTTATTTTTGTTATTGCACTGACAGTAATAGTATTTCAGTGTGATAGAAATAATTTAAAACAAATCAAAGTGCTTATAAGCACTTAATGGTAAAGATTGCATTCATTTCGCACTGTAAACTAAAAATAAAATGCTTCGCTGGGGCGCAGCTTGATACGACCGCAGAGGTCGAACCCTGAACAGTTGGGGCAAGTATGGACACAACATTCAAGCTTGATACAGCTCTGAATTTGGATTGTTATTAAATATTTGACACAGCATAGGTTTCTGACACAGAAAGAATGTGGTCTAAGAATTTGAATTTTTTTTAATTTACCTATTATGGTCCAATGTCCAAAATCAAAATACATGGTTAGATTCAGCATATCAAAGAACCCCATATATTCAATTTTTGTTGAAATCAAAAAAAGTTTAATTTTGGACCCAAACTTGGACCAACTTGAAAACTGGGCCCATAATCAAAAATCTAAACACATGTTTAGATTCAGCATATCAAAGAACCCCAAGAATTCAATTTTTGTTAAAATCAAACTAAGTTTAATTTTGGACCCTTTGGACCTTAATGTAGACCAATTTAAAAAAACAGGACCCAAAATTAAAAACCTAATACACGGTTAGATTTGGAATATCAAAGAACCCCAATGATTCAATTTTAGATGAAATCAAACAAAGTTTAATTTTGGACCCTTTTGACCTCAATATGAACCAATTTGATAACAGGGTCCACAAATAAAAAATCTAAATACATGGTTAGATTCAGCATATCAAAGAACCCCATATATTCAATTTTTGTTGAAATCAAACAAAGTTTAATTTTGGACCCCAATTAGGACCAACTTGAAAACTGGGCCAAAAATCAAAAATCTAAATACATGTTTAGATTCAGCATATCAAAGAACCTCATATATTCAATTTTTGCTAAAATCAAACAAAGTTTAATTTTGGACCCTTTGGACCTTCATATGGATTTTTTTGTTAAAAAAAAAGATGCAACATTTGCAGATATTTTTACTGGTCTTCCTTTATAAATATGCATTTCTTTAAACATAATTTAAAAGCAGTGTAAGGGAAGTAACCAAAACGTTGTATTTGGATTACCTCCCTTACACTGTTTTAAATTATCTTTATTGTTCATTAACCATTACTTTATACATAATTTAAAAGCAGTGTAAGGGAGATAATTTCAATGATGTATTTGATTTATCTCCCTTACACTGTTTTAAATTATGTTTTGTACTAAAGTATTTGTCCATTAACCAGGACAACCTTGTTTTTCCCCCTTTTTTGCCCCTAATTCTTAAACGGTTAGAGCCATAACCCCTCAAAGCAAATCCTAACCATCCCTTTGTCGTATGGAAACTTGTAGTATAATTTCAGAGAGATCCATACACCGTTCCACAGTTATTGTCTGGAAACTATAAAATGCTTATTTTTGGCCCCTAATTCCTTAACTGTTGGTACCATAACCCCCAAGATCAATCCCAACCTTCCTTTTGTGGTATTTAACCTTATGGTCAAATTTCAAAAAGATCCATTCACTTAAACTAAATTAGAGTGCGAAAACCAATGTGTCTTCGGACGACGACGCCGCACGACGACGACGATGACGCCAACGTCATACCAATATACGACCACAAAATTTTTTTGCGGTCGTATAATTAATCATTGCAGTGTATTAAGCATTTGAAAGTAATACCATGAATTGATTCAACAACAATAATGGATAAAGGAAGATAACTCCAATTCTAAATGTTAATTTAATAATAACATCATTGATATTTTTAAAGTTATATGAAATGAGTTTCTTGTAATTTTAATATTATCGAAATTATTGTACCAATGCATGCATATATACTAAACTAAGTCCTGTATGAACGTTTTTTTATATTTATTTCGATTCTATAACGTATTATCGACAAATAATATTCCATTCAGTGATTGTTGGTCGCAAGCTAATTAACTCTTGAGTTTGTTGCCAAGGTTTACTGGATCGTGACATTGATAAACAATCAATACAGAGTACATGGAAAACTTGACAAATAAGTGAATTGAAAAAGCCTTGATATATTTTTTTAACATTTGCCATGCATTCCCATTTGTTAATTAAACTTTTCCTAAACAATTGTTAAATGATTTGTTGTATTAAATTTGTTCTTCAAGAATCAGTTATTTCAATTTTCTTTCTAGCGCATGTTTGTTTATATTCTTTCATCACGGTTTTCCCCTCGCACTTGCGCTGTGCGGATGCCAAAGTTCTAACGAGAGGTCGTGTAATAAAGGTCACTGCATACCATAAAATATCAGCGAATTAGTGTACGGGAAGACAATAATTCAATAGCAGCACATTTATGTAGATTTTGATATCAACTATTTTTTTGAACTTGAAGTTTCATATGACTTTAAAACAGATACTAGATTCATGCACCATGCACAATTTAATTAATTCTCAACAAATTTTGTTATACACATACACATCATTTTGTAACTTGAATATCATTGATAGATTTCTTGAGGTGTTCATGGATAAGATGTATAGATGTTGTGATCAATGTACTATGTTTTATTTATCTCAAAAGTAGTGTTAAGTCTGGAAAATAAATAACTATCAAGCCAAAAACATAAGTAATAGATTGCATGAATGCAATCTTTACCCCAAAAGTGCAAAATGTCTTTCTGCATTAGAATTCTAAAATGCATCAATTTGTATGCAACTAAATCTGAACTGTAGATGCGTAAATTCAGAAACTGATGTGATTTTTTTTCATTACCGAGAAAAATGGGAAAGAATGATTAACTCAATTAAGTAATACCAGTACTGTATTTGAAGAGTTGCCACCATCAAATCCAAAATTGACCGTGGCATCTCTTCAAAGAACTGTAATTCCTATTCTAATAAAAATAATCTTTAAAATGTTCAGAATTAAACAATTCAAATATTCCAAAAATGTTGATTGTGATTCCTCAACACTGTTGCCATTGACTCCGACAGTCAACCATTGAATTGATGGCAGAGGACATCCAATCAAAATTTGCGTTACATACCTTATTGCATTAGAAAAAGTTAAACAAAAATGCATGCTTTTGGCCTGCTCAGCAGACCCACATTTGTAATTCAAAGTATCGGCAAGAGTGGGTGTATAACTTTGTGTAATACTTTACTACCACCTGTACAGAAATTCCATTTACTATTATTACATTGTTAAGGGTTGTCAAGATAGGCCCTAATAAATGCATGCATTAATTTCTAAGCAGTAAACATACTTTGCTGATGTATTAGTACAAACAATGTACTCTACTTCATCAGTATAAGGATTCTGGAAACTAAAGCTACTGGTTCTCAACCATACCCAGTCATTATTAGCTGCTCTAAATCTGTACATTATAGACATTACTTGACCTTTCAACTTTAACACTGTAATAAAAATAGTTTTTCATAGAAAATAACATTCTTCAAGTTGAGGAAACTGAATTTTTCAACTTTACATTTTAAAAGGGCTATTTAAAGAAAATATATATGAGATGGATAACAGATACACTCTTTAATATACATTTTTACAAATGATACAGCTTTGAATGTGTTTTACAAGAAATGTGTACATTTATATAATGAAACTTTTGATAGTTCCTAAGTTAATGCCAGAATGAAATATAAATTAATATGCTTCCAAGATTTTCTTTGTATGCAGAATATAACAGATGGTATATGATAATGACTGATGAACTCTGTCAAAAGTCATGTTCTTTTAACTATTTCACAGTTTAAAAAACATCTTAAATGTTTTGTCGCTATATTCTAGAAATTAATCCAAGTACTCTTTCACAATACAGGATAACATTACCTTGCTCAAAGGTATCTTTCATGTGAGTTTTATCTTCTGGGTGATAAAAATCAAAAGCTGATTTCCCTAACAATTCCTGTGGTTGATAACCAAGTAAAGCTGTTACCCTGAAAAAAGAAAAATGTATTACTATTAGTTAAACTTTAGGATTTTTAAATTCATTGTGTACATTAAAATTGAAGTGGTTTATTTAGTTTGTACATGAAAATTGAAGTGGGTTAACTCCCCATTAACTTAAATTTAAATCACAAGTTGACAAAATGTTTTATTTGAAAGTTGCCTATATTCATCCATTTGACAACCATTCTTCTCCAAAAACTTTTTCACTCATTCAAATCTGCACATCAAAAACTCATGAACAATTACATAGAGTGATAATATCACATTAGCAGCAATGAAGTTTAATATATTGAGATTGACAAATAATTTTGTGAAAAATTATTTCATTTTTAAAAACTTGTGACTATACTTCTCAAATAAATTTGTCTAATTGAAACCCTTACCTCTGGTCGACAAAAGTAAATTTTCCCTCTATACTGTGTCTGGAAACAAATTCTGTGGCATTGTTTGCACCCATTAAATCATTACAGTTGGGTGCACTAGTCACCTGCAGTCTTCCAATGGCAACCAAACAACAATGGCTGCCAGGACCAGAATTTTCATCTGGATCTCTATCAATTTGTACTCCTGTCCATCAAAATAAAATAAATATTAAACCTTGGTAACAACATAAACTTAATAATGGATAAAATAACAGAATTTATCAAGACTAATAAAAGCACAAAATGACATGATACTAGAAACAGCTTTAATTACAGCACAATGACTTGAGTGTGTAGGTAAAGGTTATATCTTTGGTAAGCTTACTTGCTAGCTGAACCGTGAAATAATTACTTCCTTTGGGCAGAGTCAATTATTATAGTTAAGAAGAGAACCAGTCAAAGGTAAAGACAGTGCATAAACATTGTGAAACCAGTTTAGAAATATGTTTTCAATCTAATTTTAAAATATAGTGTCCATTATAAGCTAATTCACAAGTATGTTGTATATGTGTTTGATTTGTCAATTTTGCTTTAATTAAAACAATATATACAATACCATTTTTACAAAAGAGGAACATCTCAAAGATGACCCGACTAAGTTTATTTTTACACCTTCTGTAGCACCCACCCCCACTCCCCCCCCCAAAAAAAACCAAAACACAATGATATCCTTACATATATAATAAGGATATGAAAAGTGTTTTTTTAGGCGATAAAATCATAATGTATACTGTGGATTCATTTATTTTCGTGGGAATCAATTTTTCGTGGATTGCTGAAAACTTGCATTTTCGTGGATATTTGATTTCGTGGTTTTGCCAATCTCTGTATACAAAGTCTATTGAAAATTTGTAATTCGTTGATCATTTGAATTCGTGGTTCACCTGTACCCACGAAACCCACGAAAATTGGTATCCAACGAATAATAATGAATCCACAGTATATAGAATTATACATGTAAACAATCTAGTTATCAATGAACAGGGGTAGGCTCCATGTTGAAGGCTGTACTTTGACCTATAATTGTTAACTTTATCATTGTGACTTGGATGGAGAGTTGTCTCATTGGCACTCATACCACATCTTCTTATTTATAGTAATTGATTGAAATGAAATTGACAAATCAAACACACCTACAACCTAAAAACATATTTTTGAACTAACTTGTAAAACTGGTTTTTACAATATTTATATATTGTTCCTACTTTTGATTGGTTCCCTGCTAAATTATTGACTCAGCCCAAAAGAAGGTAGTACCTTAGCTAATAATGATTTCATGGTTCAGCTTAGCTAGCAAACAAGCTAACCAAAGATACTACCTTTACTTACACACTCCAAGTCATAGAATCCTTATTTCCTAATGCCATTCAATTTTTTTTTTTTTGCTTTTTATAAGGCCATTTAATGATTTACTATAATTGTATCCTTTAATCCCTACCAGGTTCTTTTGTATACAAAACTGGGATGAGCAGGGAACATCATTAACCTTCAATGAGTCCCAGACACCAGCAGATTGACTGTAAATGACCTTAGTGAGACTTGGAACCCTACAGAAGTGGTGAAATGAAGAATTTGTTTTGAAGGAAGATGTCAACTTCTAGTGCAATCTAGCTTTAAGTAAGGTGAATATGGGAGGCAGATGGTTGGAGAGTGATGAAGAGTACCTATTTTGTGAAATCAACTCCTACGTATTTAACCAATAGCCCTCAAACTGTCTATAATTTTGGTTTATACATTGTAGATCTGCCTTTTAACTATGTAGACATTTGGACAATTTTTGCAGATTTTTCAGATGGTGAAATTCAGTCAATTTGCAGTAACATTCTCAAAGGATGGTACATGTATCCATTTTGTGCTATCAAATCCTCTTACATTTTTCAACATTATAAAGTGTTTTATATGTATTGAAGAAAGATACTTCCCTTTGTGTACAGATTTGGAGAATTTTAGTTTGTTTTAGCAAATATTACCCTGGAGATTTGTTTTCCTTTGTTTTGATCATTTTTAAAAATCAGTAAGACATCCCCTTTCAATGCTGCCGTTTAACAGATTCTCTTTAAATATAAAAAAATAATGTTGTTACCATTTGTATGGCTTTTCAAATCATTTGAGTCTTTGACCCATATCTAAAAATGCTTAATCATATTTCCAAATAATTCTTATATGATTTGCATATTAGGGAATACGTTGATATGATTGGTTGAGAGGACTTCCGGTAATTGTTCTTGACGTAGTTTATTTTTCGATAGACGACGTTGACCGAACTTCTTTTCGTAACCAATGTAAACAAGATGGCGGCGATAATGACACAATCCGGATCAACGTTAATAAAATTTATTTTCACTTCGCGTTAATCGTTGAATTAAATAATAAACACAAAACATTCGTTTGAATGATAATAAGAGTTTTTGTAGTTTATTTTTTTATTGGATTGCAAATTTCATGGACTTCATATTTTTGCGTTAACCAACAAATATATTCATGCGCCAGGCCTATTCAATGAAACAAATATACAATTTACGTGTGATAGAAGTTACGAGTGTGGAAAAATTCCTTATCTCCAATTTTAAAGAATTATAAGGATTAAACGCCTTTTTAAAGGAATTTATTGGTGTATAAACTGTACTAAGTCACTCACAAACATATCATAAAAGTCCTTTGGACTTTTATTTGTTTGTGAGTGAATTGGTCGAGTTTATACACCAATAAATTCCTTTAACTAGAGGCTCTAAAGAGCCTGTGTCGCTCACCTTGGTCTATGTGCATATTAAACAAAGGACACAGATGGATTCATGACAAAATTGTGTTTTGGTGATGGTGATGTGTTTGTAGATCTTACTTTACTGAACATTCTTGCTCCTTACTATTATCTCTATCTATAATGAACTTGGCCTGGTAGTTACAGTGGAAAATATTTTGTCAAAATTTATGAAAATTGTAAAAAATTGACTATAAAGGGCAATAACTCCTTAAGGGGTCAATTGACAATTTTGGTCATGTTGACTTATTTGTAGATCTAACTTTGCTGTACATTATTGCTGTTTACAGTTTATGTCTATCTATAATAATATTCAAGATAATAACCAAAAGCTGCAAATTTTTTTTTAAATTACCAATTCAGGGGCAGCAACCCAACAACGTAGTGCCTGATTGGTCTGAAAATTTCAGGGCAGATAGATCTTGACCTAATGAACAATTTTATCATCATCAGATTTGCTCTAAATGCTTTGGTTTCAGAGATATGAGCCAAAAACTGCATTTTACCCTATGTACTATTAATTAGCCATGTCGGCCATCTTGGTTCGTGGGCAGGGTCATGGGACACATTTTTTAAACTAAATACCCTAATGATGATTGTGGACAAGTTTGGTTAAATTTGTCTTAGTAGTTTCAGAGGAGAAGATTTTTGTAATAGATTACAAAAATTTACGAAAAAGGGTTAAAAATTGACTATAAAGAGCAATAACTCCTTAAGGGGTCAACTGACCATTTTGGTCAACTTAACTTATTTGTAGATCTTACTTTGCTGAACATTATTGCTGTTTACAGTTTATCTCTATCTATAATAATATTCAAGATAATAACCAAAAACGGCAAAATTTCCTTAAAATTACCAATTCAGGGGCAGCAACCCAACAACAGGTTGTCCGATTCATCTGAAAATTTCAGGGCAGATAGATCTTGACCTGATAATCAGTTTTACCCAACGTCAGATTTGCTCTAAATGCTTTGGTTTCAGAGATATAAGCCAAAATCTACATTTTACCCCTATGTTCTATTTTTAGCCATTGCGGCCATCTTGGTTGGTTGGCCGGGTCACCGGACCCTTTTTTTAAACTAGATACCCCAATGATGATTGTGGCCAAGTTTGGTCAAATTTGGCCCAGTAGTTTCAGAGGAGAAGATTTTTGTAAAAGTTAACGACGACGGACGACAGACGCCAAGTGATGAGAAAAGCTCACTTGGCCCTTTGGGCCAGGTGAGCTAAAAAGGCGTTTAATCCTATAATAACTTCCCAATAAATTACCTGCTGGTGGCCAGTTCTTTATATAACCAGTGACGTGTACAACAGTGTAATGGTTTCCATCATTTGATGGACCAATGGTGTTCCTTTGACGGACACGTAAGGAATGATTGGCTGTCATTGGATCAACCTGTACATTTCCCATCTTCATTCTACATATAAAACCTCTTCTGGATCCCATACACAATCTGATAGATGCTGAAATGAAAAATACACCATACACATAATAAAATGCTTCGCTGGGGCGCAGCTTGATACGACCGCAGAGGTCGAACCCTGAACAGTTGGGGCAAGTATGGACACAACATTCAAGCTTGATACAGCTCTGAATTTGGATTGTTATTAAATATTTGACACAGCATAGGTTTCTGACACAGAAAGAATGTGGTCTAAGAACTTGAATTTTTTTAATTTACCTATTATGGTCCAATGTCCAAAATCAAAATACATGGTTAGATTCAGCATATCAAAGAACCCCATATATTCAATTTTTGTTAAAATCAAACAAAGTTTAATTTTGGACCCCAACTTGGACAAACTTGAAAACTGGGCCCATAATCAAAAATCTAAACACATGTTTAGATTCAGCATATCAAAGAACCACAAGAATTCAATTTTTGCTAAAATCAAACTAAGTTTAATTTTGGACCCTTTGGACCTTAATGTAGACCAATTTAAAAAACGGGACTTAAAATTAAAAATCTAAATACACGGTTAGATTTGGCATATCAAAGAACCCCAATAATTCAATTTTCGATGAAATCAAACAAAGTTTAATTTTGGACCCTTTTGACCTCAATATGAACCAATTTGATAGCGGGGCCTACAAATAAAAAATCTAAATACATGGTTAGATTCAGCATATCAAAGAACCTCATATATTCAATTTTTGTTGAAATCAAACAAAGTTTAATTTTGGACCCCAATTTGGACCAACTTGAAAACTGGGCCCATAATCAAAAATCTAAATACATGTTTAGATTCAGCATATCAAAGAACCCAATATATTCAATTTTTGTTGAAATCAAACAAAGTTTAAATACTGGACCCTATCTTGGACCAACTTGAAAACTGGGCCCATAATCAAAAATCTTAACACATGTTTAGATTCAGCAAATCAAAGAACCCCAAGAATTCAATTTTTGTCAAAATCAAACTAAGTTTAATTTTGGACCCTTTGGACCTCAATGTAGACCAATTTAAAAAACAGGACCCAAAATTAAAAACCTAAATACACGGTTAGATTTGGAATATCAAAGAACCCCAATAATTCAATTTTAGATGAAATCAAACAAAGTTTAATTTTGGACCCTTTTGACCTCAATATGAACCAATTAGATAACGGGGTCCACAAATAAAAAATCTAAATACATGGTTAGATTCAGCATATCAAAGAACCCCATATATTCAATTTTTGTTGAAATCAAACAAAGTTTAATTTTGGACCCCAATTTGGACCAACTTGAAAACTGGGCCAAAAATCAAAAATCTAAATACATGTTTAGATTCAGCATATCAAAGAACCTCATATATTCAATTTTTGCTAAAATCAAACAAAGTTTAATTTTGGACCCTTTGGACATTAATGTAGACCAATTTGAAAACGGGACCCAAAATTAAAAATCTAAATACACTGTTAGATTCGGCATAACAAATAAATAAATGTGATCAAAGATTTTACAAATCTAATGCGCCATACTGTGCAATTAAAGATTACTTCTTGAAATTTTTCAATATTTGAAATTTGAAAAAAAAATAATATTTGAAGAATAATTCTTTTTAATTTCTGAAATCTGAAATGAGAAAAAATTGGCCCCCCACAATTTCTTTTTATCCCCTCCCCCCCTTTTTCCCCCAAAAAAATTCTTTCCCTCAAGATATGATCATAATCTCAATTCAAATTTCCAATGGAGTTGGCAACCATAATTACCCATTTAAATTTACCATAGTGCTAACTTAATCTATTTTATAATAGAATTAATAAAAATATAGTGTCAAATCTTTCATATGGATTTTTTTGTAAAAAAAAAAAGATGAAAACATTTGCAGATATTTTTACTGGTCTTCCTTTATAAATATGCATTTCTTTAAACATAATTTAAAAGCAGTGTAAGGGAAGTAACCAAAACGTTGTATTTGGATTACCTCCCTTACACTGTTTTAGATTATCTTTATTGTTCATTAACCATTACTTTATACATAATTTAAAAGCAGTGTAAGGGAGATAATTTCAATGATGTATTTGATTTATCTCCCTTACACTGCTTTAAATTATGTTTTGTACTAAAGTATTTGTCCATTAACCAGGACAACCTTGTTTTTCCCCCTTTTTTGCCCCTAATTCCTAAACGGTTTGAGCCATAACCCCCCAAAGCAAATCCTAACCATCCCTTTGTGGTATGGAAACTTGTAGTATAATTTCAGAGAGATCCATACACCGTTCCACAGTTATTGTCTGGAAACTAGAAAATGCTCATTTTTGGCCCCTTTTTGGCCCCTAATTCCTTAACTGTTGGTACCATAACCCCCAAAATCAATCCCAACCTTCCTTTTGTGGTATTTAACCTTATGGTCAAATTTCAAAAAGATCCATTCACTTAAACTAAAGTTAGAGTGCGAAAACCAATATGTATTCGGACGACGACGCCGGACGACGACGACGACGACGCCAACGTCATACCAATATACGACCACAAAAATTTTTTGCGGTCGTATAAAAACTGTCTAGGACCCCATGCACAATCTAATGGATGCTGAAATAATAAATACACTATGCAGATAAAACCTCTCCCGTCTACTAGATGGACATGAACACCTTAAAATCATTCCATCACTAAATATGTGTTCCCCCTAGAAATTTTGGATAGCATCACATTTGGCGTAAAAAAAATACTGTATTTTTTTCAATGTCATTTGTCGTGTTGCGGCGATGCTCTATTTCCTTTTTGTTATGTTTATATTGTTTAATTGATAACTGAGAATACAATTAAACTATAACAGTTGTTTCAGTTTATGTTTTCTATATTAATTTATAGTTACAGAATTATTTTTTTCCTCTTGGGCCAAATAAAAATATATGTGTGGTTCCAGTTACATTGTACCCTACCTACCCAACTAAATATCTAGTAAAACAAAAAGAGCTGGTTTTTATATAAAAAAAGGAGGAGAAAGTATCATACAGCAATAAAATTTCATTTAAAAAACTATTTTCTTTATCATGTCTATGAAATTCATTGTTTCTTGGTACTCAATGTATTAGTCCCAGTTTTTTCTTTATATCAAAATGATATGTATTTTTAACAAAGTTTAATCAGTATATTGAAACAATGCATTTCCAAAATGAATACATTTAGCAAGGAGATCTAACAAATAGTCTGTTAATGCGTGTGGAATGCGTAGTTTTCTCTTTTAGGGTCATTTTTTCTGTCTACTGTGCCATTTGTGCATCTGAAGTTATTATCGTAAAAATGCGGATTTTTGTCATATCAGGTCCTGTTCCGAACCGTAGTTTACACAAATATTTCAATGGCGGCCGAATAAAAATTAACGAAAATAAACAATGTTTGACAAGAGATTGGGAATGAATATGACGCTTTTAATGCCTTAAATGGATGAAACATCAACTAAAGCCAATTTTGAATCACTTTCTAAAGAAGTATCAAACTTATTTAGCTCAAAATCAAAATGTTTAATATACACTCTCGATTAACAAGTAGTACCGGAAGGGAAAGAAAATAATTTTAAAACAAACGACCAAACCTCTTTTCTAAAGAGATAAATCGTTTGTATCTTTGAATTTATATTATGTAAATGTAGATTTTGAATTGTTTATGATTTTCTGATTACATTTTCTCAATGTCGAAATTAGCGATTGGACCACGTGGTATTAGTCATGTCATAAGTGTCAGCTTGGGGTATTCGTATCCAAACAGTTATCAACCAAAGGCAGTTAACACCTATTTAATCACTCTAAATTGCCTCTATTGTCCGACTTTAAGGGATTACAATTCAAGGTGATATAATTTTTATGATCACAAGTGGTAATTAGATGAAAGTTCAAAATTTAGGACATGGTTTTGCGGACAAGAAAAATAGCATCCTCAAAATAATTATAGCGTTGTGGAAATTATTATAGCATCATGGGAAAAAAATATAGCGTCTTGGTGCCGCGACGCTAAAACGGCCTGGGGAGAACGCTGCTTAAAGTATTTGAGAAATGGACATAATCACAAAACCTTAGTGTTTGATCACTGATCCATAAAATGAGGTCAGGGAAAGGTGAACCCTGTCATTTTATAAACTAGATAAACAACAACTGACTTTGGTGACTGTATTTTGTATTTACTAGGTGTAAATGTAAATATTAATCTACAGGCTAACTTTGATAACTGTATATATTAAATCTACAAACTTACTTTGATGACTGTATATATTAAATCTACAAACTTACTTTGATGACTGTCTTTTTTAACTGTTCCAGCTGAAAAAGAAAACAAAGTCTTAATACAGATTAATTTCCAGGATGTATAGAAAAGCAAAAACATTTTTGCTTAGATATAATTTCACATAGATTGTGTTGTAATCCATGAGTAGAGATAATCTATATGTTAAATATACAACTTGGGTGATGAGAAACTTTTGTACTACAATGTACTCAAAGTTTTAGTAATTCTATTGTTATATTCAGTCAACAACAGCATGTTTGTTGTTTTTCATTTGTTTTTTTACTGACATGTAAATTGCATATATTACTAAACTATTTTTATATTACTAATGACACAGATCAATAATTATAGGTTGCACTTTGTAAATACTTTCTCAAACCACGCCTCTTTTGGGGAGATATATAATATTCATAGATATGTTAATTTGTTAACGTACTGGTTCCCATTTATGATCTCTGTGTTTCATTTCATAGAGACATCACTTGGGAATGTAACCAGTATAGAAAAACATGGTAGCGCCTAAATTTTAATTCTTAGGAGGTCTAAAAATGGAGGTAAGGGTAGTATAGAATTTTAGTATAAGTTTAAACTCTTAGAAGTTCAGGGCATATAAATGTTGAAAATATGCCGCACAGCCCTATATTTTAACCTTTGAATAAAATAGTAGTGCATATAAACTTTCCTTTCTAGGATATTATTTTTCACGAAACTTCATAGTAAAAGTGTCACAGTTTTAGCCGCAAAGGGAGTTCCTATGGGAAAATGCATTGTCTATATTTACAGAATTGCAACCTATATGAAGTTGAAAAAAATAATAACCCAGTACAAAATAAAGCAAATCTTTCTTTAAGGAGTTACTTGCTTCACTTTTTTACTATGAACATATTGTAAAAGTAATGACAGCCAAATGACTAAATAGTTAATTCGGGGAAACATCTGCATTAAAAATAAAAGTATCTAAAAATATGGAGATGTAGTATGCTTGTAAATGAGACAACTATATACCAAAGACCAAAAATAGTATGAGAATAAACATCTACATATCAAGAAGTCACTGTACACCCTTTAAAAAGAAGCTTATGTGAAACAGGAAGCCCAGATAAATAAAATATTGAAGGGTTCTTGTTGAGTTGTGTAGGTAACCAATACCTAGTAAGAACATACTGTACATTCAGAAAGTATATTTTACTAATGCGAAAAATGCAACAGTATCAGGTTCCCAATACTAAAAACTTCCATTCATAATTTCAGTGTAGAGATTTTCTTGCATAAAATTTTTGCAATCACATTTTAAATTAGATTTCACATTTTTGCCAGAGGTCAAGATTCACAATAGTAAATGCACACAGTAATTACTGAATTTACAGTATTGCAAGGGGCTTCAGTTGAAGTCAGATATTATTTTTTACTGCTCTGTTTTTCCTGTTTGTTTTGAATAATCTTTTGATTACATTTTCACATACTTTTCAAATCTAAAATCCTTCCTGTGTTTTGAGATTCTGTTGTTGAAAGCTGTTCTCTTACTTTATCAATATCATCTGGGTGGATCAGTTCATAGACACAGTTTCCAAACCATTCATTCTGAAAAAATAATATATTTGATAACTGTTTATATTCTAAAGAATACCTGACAAAATTTATGTAAGAGTATCAGCATGGAATCTTAAAATGTAGACGACTATGACCAAAATAATGCTGAGGTAAGTTTAATTGTAACATTAATGGTAGCTAGAAATCACATAAACTAAGTGTGGGTATTTACATAATGTTCAGACGAAAATATATCAGGAAATGTGTGAAACTTACATCAATGGATTGGTACCTGACCAAATAAACAGGGATTAAATTCACTTGTTTCAAATGAACTGAGTTGTAAATGAGGAATGTTGTGGTAAAAATTTTATACATATATGACATATACCACTACAGGTTCTTAAAAATGATTGTCAGAGGACTAAAGTTCTTGAGTGAGAGAGAGAATGGGATGTTTAACGTCCTACACAGCAACATAATGCTCTGAAGGCAAAAAAAAGGAATGTTTCTCAATGCCAATTCAGGTCATACAGTCAAACGGAAATGTATTCATAGATGAGATAATTAAAAAGCTATCTTTCTTATATGAAAAATAACAACCTTTAACTTACCATAGACTGGTGAAGAAATGGTGTCACTGTGTCAGACACATATATATCCTCTCCTAACTTACCATTGACTGGTGAAGAACTGGTGTCACTGTGTCAGACACATATATTATTCTCCCCTAACTTACCATAGACTGGTGAAGAACTGGTGTCACTGAGTCAGACACATATATTTTTCTCCCCTAACTTACCATTGACTGGTGAATGGTGTCACTGAGTCAGACACATATATTATTCTCCCCTAACTTACCATTGACTGGTGAAGAACTGGTGTCACAGAGTCAGACACATATATTATTCTCCCCTAACTTACCATTGACTGGTGAAGAAATGGTGTCACTGAGTCAGACACATATATTTTTCTCCCCTAACTTACCATTGACTGGTGAAGAACTGGTGTCAATGAGTCAAACACACATAATATTCTCCCCTAACTTACCATTGACTGGTGAAGATCTGGTGTCAATGAGACAGACAAATATATTATTCTCCCCAAACTTACCATTGACTGGTGAAGAACGGGTGTCACTGAGTCAGACATATATTTTTCTCCCCTAAACTTACCATTGACTGGTGAAGAACTAAAGTTACTGAGTCAGACACATATATTATTCTCCCTTAACTTACCATTGACTGGTGAAGAACTGTCACTGAGTCAGACACATATATAATTCTCCCCTAACTTACCATAGACTGGTGAAGAACTGGTGTCACTGAGTCAGACACATATATTATTCTCCCATAACTTACCATTGACTGGTGAAGAACTAGTGTCACTGAGTCAGACACATATATTATTCTCCCCTAACTTACCATAGACTGGTGAAGAACTGGTGTCACTGAGTCAGACACATATATTTTTCTCCCCTAACTTACCACTGACTGGTGAAGAACTGGTGTCACTGAGTCAGACACATATATTATTCTCCCCTAACTTACCATAGACTGGTGAAGAACTGGTGTCACTGAGTCAGACACATATATTACTCTCCCCTAACTTACCACTGACTGGTGAAGAACTGGTGTCACAGAGTCAGACACATATATTATTCTCCCATAACTTACCACTGACTGGTGAAGAACTGGTGTCACAGAGTCAGACACATATATTATTCTCCCCTAACTTACCATTGACTGGTGAAGAAATGGTGTCACTGAGTCAGACACACATATTTTTCTCCCCTAACTTACCATTGACTGGTGAAGAACTGGTGTCAATGAGTCAGACACACATATTATTCTCCCCTAACTTACCACTGACTGGTGAAGATCTGGTGTCAATGAGTCAGACAGATATATTATTCTCCCCTAACTTACCATTGACTGGTGAAGAACGGGTGTCACTGAGTCAGACACATATATTTTTCTCCCCTAAACTTACCATTGGCTGGTGAAGAACTGGTGTCACTGAGACAGACACATATATTATTCTCCCCTAACTTACCATTGACTGGTGAAGAACGGGTGTCACTGAGTCAGGCACATATATAATTCTCCCCTAACTTACCATAGACTGGTGAAAAACTGGTGTCACTGAGTCAGACACATATATTATTCTCCCCTAACTTACCATTGACTGGTGAAGAACTAGTGTCAATGAGTCAGACACATATATTATCCTCCCCTAACTTACCATTGACTGGTGAAGAATTGGTGTCACTGAGTCAGACACATATATTATTCTCCCCTAACTTACTATGACTGGTGAAGAACTGGTGTCACTGAGTCAGACACATGTATTATTCTCCCCTAACTTACCATTGACTGGTGAAGAACTGGTTTCACTGTGTCAGACACATATAAATTTCTCCTTACTTACCATAGACTGGTGAATAATTGGTGTCACTGAGTCAGACACATATATTTTTCTCCCCTAACTTACCATTGACTGGTGAATGGTGTCACTGAGTCAGACACATATATTTTTCTCCCCTAACTTACCATTGACTGGTGAAGAACCGGTGTCACTGAGTCAGGCACATATATTATTCTCCCCTAACTTACCATAGACTGGTGAAGAACTGGTGTCACTGAGTCAGACACATATATTATTCTCCCAGTATCACATTGTACAACAAATAGGAATCCATCTGCCGCCTGAAGTAGAAATAATCTTAATACAATTCCTCCCTCTTAATCCTATCTTGATATACAAAGAGACAAAAAATAAACTGTTGACACAGAGATATGTTTCACCTGTCTGAAAATTCAGAAAAAGACAATCTGATGGACAGCAACATTGCTAATAAATTCAAAGTTGTTGGACCATGACTTAGAGGGCAGCGCATCAAAATCGTCAAACTGAGATGTTCTGTTACTAATGCAACTTTATAGAAAATATCAAGTCTAAGTAGATCCTGTCAAACTAACTTTAGCAATTGTAAATTGGTAATTAATTGAAAGTCACTGGACCATGACCTACAGGGCTGGGCCTCAAAATAGTCGTCAAACTGATATGAACTGTTAGTCATGCAACTTTATAGAAAATAAAATGCTCTGCAGGGCACAGCTTGATACCACTGCAGAGGTCTAACCTCAACAAGTATGGACACAACATTCAAGCTTGATACAGCTCTGAATTTGGATTGTGATTAAATATTTGATACAGCATAGGTTTCAGTCACAGAATGAATGTGATCTAAGAACTTAAAAATTTGAAATTGGACATTTACCTATCATAGTCCAATATCCAAAATCTAAATACATGGTCAGATTCAGCAAATCAAAGAACCCCAAGAATTCAATTTTTGATGAAATCAAACAAAATTTAATTTGGGACCCTTTGGACCTCAATGTGGACCAATTTGATAATTGGGCCTAAATTCAAAATCTAAATACACAGGTAGATTCAGCATATCAAAGAACCCCATATATTCAATTTTTATTGAAATCAAACAAAGTTTTATTTTGGACCCTGATTGGAACCAACTTGAAAACAGGGCCCAAAATCTAATATCTACATACAGTGTTCCAGCTTGAATCTCAGGGCAGAAGGGTGCTAGTTGTTTGAAAGGGCACTTTACCGCAATAACCCAGATTGTAAGGGCACTGTTGGACTGTGTATAAATTACCTTGAATATTGCTAGGCTCAGCTGGAGAACATTAATTGTATTTTAAGCATATTAAGAAATTAATGTGTTCCTGATGTTGGTTCCAGTAAGATTTTTTTTTATCAAATTATCATACCATGATGCAAAGCATATCATTTTGATGTTAATCTAAACAAAGTTGTACACTTGGTTAAGGAAAATAATTATCAAAAAATTCAATGTTTTATAACTTAAACCATTCTATAGAAATAAACAAGTAATTCTGAAAGATGGAGCTATAAATGCAAAATTGAATTTGTGATGTAATTAAATTTTCTACATTTAAATTACTTGTTCTACTTGCTATACAATGTAGTATATGTTATTGAAAGTTACTTATAATCCTTTTAATTGTTACAAAAAAGTTTTTTTAAGTGCACACCAAAGTGCTCCTAAGTAAGGAGTTTTATAAATATAACAGGTGAGACAGGAGATGATCATATTATATTGATGCAATTATATATTGCAAAAGGTATAAATAGTTACTTTTTTCTCCATTATTGTTAAAAATAAAAGCATTTGTTAAGTGCTCCTATGTAAGGAGGATTATTAATACAAGAAGTTAAACAGGAAGTGGTGCAATCTTGTTATGTCCAAAGTACAAATTTCTTTGATTCTTCTTTAAATTTCTTTTACTCATGGTTATGAAACAAAAAATGTTCTACCCCATTTACCAATTTAGTCAAAACTGTGTATGCCTTTTAAATTGCTTTAGATATTTTTTTTATTTTATGTCTACTGAAATAAAGTTTTTCAGGTGTACATGCTGTACATAAACATTACAAATGGATAACATGTGGACATTTTCATTCTGTATTAAATATCTAGTATTTGTTCAATTATCTTAAATCCAATAATTAGCAGTAAACAATCATTAACAGAGGTGATAAAACTGCCAAAGGCATTAGGTATTTAACTTAATCCCATTGTCAGTTAATTAGTGTTACACAATCAGGTAACATTTTACCGGAAACGCCGACAGGCACGAAATTTGGAAATTTTATTTTATGAAAAGGCAGAGGGGTGCATTCTTTCGCTTTGGGGGCAGAAGGGCGGGGGTAAGGGCACCAAGGGCGGGCCGCCCTTCTATTTAGGGCAGGCGGGAACACTGTACATACATGTTGAGAAAGGATATCAAAGGACCCCAAGAACTCATTTTTTGTTAAAATCAAACTAAAAAGTTTAATTTTGGACCCTTTGGTCCTTGATGTGGACCAATTTGAAAACCAGGCCCAAAAATCAATAAACTGTTGACACAGAGATATGTCTCGCCTGTCAGCATAAAATTCAGAAAAAGACAATCTGATGGACAGCAACATTGCTAATTAATTCAAAGTCGCTGGACCAACTGGAGACAAAATCTAAACACTCGATTAGATTCAGCATATCGAAGAACCCCAAGAATTCAATTTTCGTTGAAATCAAACAAAGTTTAATTTTGGACCCTTTGGACCTTAATGTGGAACAATTTGAAAATGGGGACCCAAAATCAAAAATCAAAATACACGGTTAGAATCGGCATATCAAAGAACCCCAATAATTCAATTTTTGATGAAATCAATCAAAGTTTAATTATTGACCCTTTGGACCAATTTAAAAACGGGGCCCAAAATCCAAAATCTAAATACACAGTAATATTCAGCATATTACAGAACCCCAAGAATTCAAGACTTTGAATTAAACCCCATTGAAATTGGTCAAGAAATAAGCAATATATACAAAGTTTTAGAAAAGTATTGTTTTTGGCCCTAATTCCTAACCGTTTAAGGCCATAACCCCCAAAATTAATCCCAACCTTCCTTTTTTGGTATGAAACCTTGTGGTACAATTCTATAGAGGTCCATAGACTTATACTCAAGTTATTGTCCAGAAACCAGAAAATCCTTGGTTTTTTGGCCCCTAATTCCTAAATGGTTTAGGCCATAACCCCCAAAATCAATCCCAACCTTTCTTTGGAGGTATGGAACCTTGTGGTACATTTTCATAGAGAGCCATATACTTATACACAAGTTATTGTCCTGAAACAAGAAAAATGCTTGTTTTTGGCCCCTAATTCCTAAACAGTTAGGATAATTACCCCCAAAATCAATCCCAACCTTCCTTTGGAGGTATGGAACCTTGTGGTACATTTTTGTAGAGATCCATACACTATTACACAAGTTATTGTCCTGAAACAAGAAAAATGCTTGTTTTTGGCCCCTAATTCCTAAACAGTTAGGACAATAACCCCCAAAATCAATCCAAACCTTCCTTCTGTGGTATGGAACCTTGTGGTACAATTTCATAGAGATCCATACACTGATACTCAAGTTATTATCTGGTTCAGACGACGACGACATTGACATCGCCATACCATTATATATATATAATATACGGCTGCAAATTTTTGCGATCGTATAAAAATCATTGATTTATCACAAGTAGTTCCTATCAAACTGACTTAAGCAGAAAAATTAACACTGAAAATTACTTACTAATTTAAAGTCGCTGGACCATGACCTAGGGGGTAGGGCCTCGAAATAGTAGTCAAACTGGTATGTTGATAGTAATGCAACATTAAAGAAAAGATCATTGATCTATCAAACTGACTAAAGCAGAAACTGAAAACTTTTAAACAATGTTGATGCCGCTGGAAAAGCAACACCTATGTCTCACCTTCAGGGACTTTTGACCTAGGCGAGACATAAAGATCTTTTGTGTATAAAGTTGGCTTGATTCCCACCAGATTTCTTATTTTGAGTTTTACTAAAATTAAATTTTTATGGCATTGTTTAATACCTTTATCTTAATACATGTAACTGTGTGTGTATTTGAATACACATTTAACCTTCTTTAGAAGGTGATTTTAGATGATTACGCAATTTAACTATTCTATCCTTAATTTTTCTTGAAAAGGAAAGGTTGAAAAGTGATCATGTTTATTGGGTTTTTTGTTTCTTCTTTGAATTTTGTAATTGATTCAGTTGAACTCAAGTCTTTTCATTATATGATAAATTTGACCAAAAGCAGTACTTTATAAAGTCTGAGGGAGAAGATTGATTAAAACAAAGTAATTTTTTTAATTTAGTTACACTCTATGATATAGATTTTAGACAAGCTAATACATGTAATATAAGACATTTGCAAAACAATACTGTAAATTCAGAAATTATTGTGTGCATTTATTATTGTGATTTTTGAAGAATGGGCGTAAATGCAAAATTAATTATTGCGATTTCAGGAAAATCTGATACAGATATATGTATCGGATTTCAGAATGCCAGTTCTTATTATTATTATACTCAACCAGTCGCATTATTTGCATTAATAAAAACCTCACAAAATTTGAAAATTGATAGAAAATTAAATAGTAATATGATGCCATAACAAAATCAAGTGTGATGTTAATATATTCATATTACAAAGAATTTTGGCATGATCTTCATCTGTAATAGAATACCATTGTTAAAATCGTGAAAACAATGACCTAGAAACTGAGACAATCATGATATATGATTAATTATTCAAAACTGTTATTAAGGGATTAAGCAAGGAATGTGAGTCCATTTGCCTACTTCAGGTAGATATAAGTTTATTGAAGTTCAAGTTCACAAGGTTGTTATTACATTTTGTTACTTTAAAATTTCACGTTGATTAAAACGTATACCAAGTCATTTCAGATTACTTGTTCATTCCAATTACAGGTCAACTTACAAGAATATTATTTTCAAAGCCATCAACGTTGTATATTTATAATTTTTATATTTGTTTTAATCTTTAACTTTGTTAGCAGTGGTTTTTTATTTTTTATTTTCACTTATTTAAGTGTTTTTCTCTCATTCAAATGTGCCTATAACATGTATAAACCATTTTAAAAACAATCCCAAAGTCATGTCAGTTTGAAAAGAAAGGGGAACAATAATAAATAAAATCTCAAAAAAAAAGTAAGATTACCTCCAGAATAAGATGTTTTAATTCCTGATCTGTGAGAAAGGAAGGTTTGTATGACCCATCAGTGCCTGTATTACCAGTACCTGTCAAACAAACAAATAGTTTAATGGTTTATCTATCATGTTATAAGATTAACATATCTATCATGTTATAAGATTAACATACACTTTTAGAGCTTAATTTATATACAGTCAAAAGCAGTCTATAAGGGTTACTCATAAATACGTGCCCTTTAATTATAGAAGGATGACCTTTACAAAGGGGGAACATACTACTTGTATTTTGTATCATTTTGAACTGCAATGTGTTTGAATATTTTTATATATATTCATACAAGTTCCCGTCATAAACAATCTACAAATTAAATCCAGCATTTTTTTTGAGATGTTTGAAATAAATTGACTCTTTCAGTTGGTTTTGTACCTTGTAAACATGCAGGTATTAGACAGGTTCTTGATAAGAAAAATTATGTCCACTGCCCCACAACAAGAGCCAAAAGTGTAAAGCTATATGTATAAAGAGTGGAAGGAATGCCCACTATGAACAGTTGCATTTTTTATGGATGCAAAAGTAAAACTGGACTGATTTACAGTCTAAATCTAAGGACTGGTAATTATCACTAGACATTTATTGTTGACTTACCTTTTCAACTGAAAAATATGTGGTAGAGAAAATTAAACTAGAGGCTCTCAAGAGCCTGTGTCGCTCACCTGACTCTACTTTGGTTTTAGAAATCATGTAAAGATAGATAAAAATCATAACAGATACCCAAATAATGATTGAGGCCAAATTTTGATTAATATTGGTCCCGTTATTTAATAAAATATCATGGTGGCCATCTTGAACAGTAAATCGGCAACAAAGTAGCAACACTTGGTCAGCACTTCATAAGGAACATTCATGCCATGTTTGGTTTCATTCCATTCAGTGGTACTCTAAAAGAAGACATTTGTATGTATTTCCCATAGGGTCCTATGTTAAACTAAGCCCCCCCCCCCCCCCCCCCTAGCGGCCATCTTGGATGATGGATCGACTGCAAAGTAACAACACTTGGTCAGCAACTCATAAGGAACATTCATGCCATGTTTGGTTCAATTCCATTCAGTGGTTCTCTAAAAGAAGACAATTGTATGTATTTCCCATAGGGTCCTATGTTAAACTAAGTCCCCCGCTGTCGGCCATCTTGGATGATGGATCGGCTGCAAAGTAACAACACTTGGTCAACATCTCATAAGGAACATTCATGCCATGTTTGGTTCCATTCCATTTATTGGTTCTCTAAAAGAGGACATTTTTATGTATTTCTCAAAGGGTCCTATGTAAAACTAAGTCCCCCCGCTGGCGGCCATCTTGGATGATGGATCGGCTACAAAGTAACAACACTTGGTCAGCATCTCATAAGGAACATTCATGCCATGTTTGGTTTCATTCCATTCAGTGGTTCTCTAAAAGAAGACATTTGTATGTATTTCCCATAGGTCCTTTGTTAAACTAAATCCCCTGCTGTCGGCCATCTTGGATGATGGACCGACTGCAAAGTAACAACACTTGGTCAGCACCTCATAAGGAACATTCATGCCATGCTTGGTTTCATTCCATTCAGTGGTTCTCTAAAAGAAGACATTTGTATGTATTTCCCATAGGGTCCTATGTTAAACTAAGTCCCCCGCTGGCGGCCATCTTGGATGATGGATCGACTGCAAAGTAACAACACTTGGTGAGCACATCATAAGGAACATTCATGCCATGTTTGGTTTCATTCCATTCAGTGGTTCTCTAAAAGAAGACATTTGTATGCATTTCCCATAGGTCCTTTGTTAAACTAAATCCCCTGCTGTCGGCCATCTTGGATGATGGACCGACTGCAAAGTAACAACACTTGGTCAGCACCTCATAAGGAACATTCATGCCATGTTTGGTTTCATTCCATTCAGTGGTTCTCTAAAAGAAGACATTTGTATGTATTTCCCATAGGGTCCTATGTTAAACTAAGTCCCCCGCTGGCGGCCATCTTGGATGATGGATCGACTGCAAAGTAACAACACTTGGTGAGCACATCATAAGGAACATTCATGCCATGTTTGGTTTCATTCCATTCAGTGGTTCTCTAAAAGAAGACATTTGTATGCATTTCCCATAGGGTCCTATGTTAAACTAAGTCCCCCGCTGGCGGCCATCTTGGATGATGGATCGGCTACAAAGTAACAACACTTGGTCAGCACCTCATAAGGAACATTCATGCCATGTTTGGTTTTATTCCATTCAGTGGTTCTCTAAAAGAAGTCATTTGTATGCATTTCCCATAGGGTCCTATGTTAAACTAAGTCCCCCGCTGGCGGCCATCTTGGATGATGGATTGGCTACAAAGTAACAACACTTGGTCAGCACCTCATAAGGAACATTCATGCCATGTTTGGTTTCATTCCATTCAGTGGTTCTCTAAAAGAAGTCATTTGTATGCATTTCCCATAGGGTCCTATGTTAAACTAAGTCCCCCGCTGGCGGCCATCTTGGATGATGGATCGGCTACAAAGTAACAACACTTGGTCAGCACCTCATAAGGAACATTCATGCCATGTTTGGTTTCATTCCATTCAGTGGTTCTCTAGAAGAAGTTCAAAATGTAAAAAGTTTACGCCGACGCCGGACGACGCCGGACGACGGACGCCAAGTGATGAGAAAAGCTCACTTGGCCCTTCGGGCCAGGTGAGCTAAAAACTAACCACACAATAGTTATGCTCCTGCTACACCACATGTATTTTCATGATTTGTAACATTAATTGTTTTCAGTTTAATTGATGCAAAAACCAGAAAGTCTGGAACAAATTATATCTTTGGTAAATATTTGGCTGAAGAGATATGTATAGATATAAGAAGATGTGGTATGAGTGCCAATGAGACAACTCTCCATCCAAGTCAAAATTTATAAAAGTAAACCATTATAGGTCACAGTACGGTCTTCAACACGGAGCCTTGGCTCACACCGAACAGTAAGCTATAAAGGGCCCCAAAAATTACTAGTGTAAAACCATTCAAACGGGAAAACCAACGGTCTAATTTATATAAAAAACGAGAAACGAGAAACACTTGATGAACCATATCAACAAACGACAACTACTGAACATCAGATAGGTATTTCTTCTATTCTGTATCCATATAAACTGGTTCTAACCTAAGCAGGATAAAATAGGACATAAAGGGTACTGTACATTACTGAAAATAAACTTGGTGTTGGTTAGTGGAGACTCTGACTGGAATACATTCTGGTAATACATGACTTCAAAATAGGATTAGATTAGAAAACAAAATTTAAAGACTGTCTATTTGAGACTGTGATGTCAGATCACACTCTGATTTGAAAAATGGACCTCAAACTGAGTCTAAATACATATCACAGGAGGTTTGACTTGACTTTCTGACTTACCTCTCAGTGTTTTCATGTGAGAAACAGCCATTCTGAGAATGGTTAGTTTGTCTGGTTTCCTAGCTAAGGTACTGCATGTCGGTACCATATCACAGAGTTCATTAATGTATGAAGTCATCTTGTTTCTTCTTCTTCTCTCAATCTCACAATGGCTCTCCCTACTCAAAACATTAACTTACACATTTATATATAGTTTTACTAGTGCTTGTAAACTTCTACTTTCACTTTTGTCAATTATAAAATTGAATTTGTTATTACAGAGTATTCAGATCTTTAATTTCCTAATTTGTTTTTCCATTAACAATCCAGAGCAGACTACTGTGGATTCATTATCCTTCATGGAGTACTCATTTTCCTTGGATTTTGTGGCTCTACATGAACCAAGAATACAAATTTCCTGTAGGCTTGTACGCAGAATTTGTCAAAACCATGAAATCGAACATCCATGAAAATTGACCCACTATAATAAATGAATCCACAGTATGTGATTGAAGAACCTGCTCATGACAAAATAAATGGAGAATGTGTCCATGGGACACAGATTATGCCCACGCTTGCATATAATGTTATAAAGGGACATACATTTTTTTTTTGTAACTAGAGAACTGTAAAAGGGACACCACCCAAATTCGAACTTGATCGGAGTTGTGTGGTACTAAGCATTGTGTAGAAGTTCCATAATATTTGATTGAGACAACTAAAGATAGAGAATGGATGTATGTACGGACGTACAGACAGATAAGGGTAACACTTAATGCCCCCTCTAATGTGGTGGAGGCATAAAAACTATACGTAAACCTTAGACATCAAAAATCAAACTGAGATTTTCTGATAATCCAGTATAATAGACTAACAAATTGTGTCTTAACAAACATCAGGATATCATCAAATCAAAATTACAAATAAAATTACAAGACTAAAGTGACATCTACTAGACCATCCTATGTCCATACAGGTTTTGTAATATCTGAAACCTCAAAAAGGTTTAATTCTTTATAGCGGGGTTGCGGTCCCTCTTACATTTACCCCACTTTTCCTATTATTAATATAATTTTGTTGATGTCATGTCATGTCAAAATAAATTAATGCACAAATGTGATGCCTTTTGAGTCCGTAATTTCTGTTGCAATTCTATTAAAACATTTTGTACTAACACTATTTTTCTTTAAACTTATATTTCACAGATGTAAATAAGACAAAGTAATTTCAAATAAAATAGATCACTTAGAGTATATTTGAAAGCCACACAAATGTACGAATTCTCACAAAAGTTAAATTTTTCCTATTACTCTAAAATTCAAAAATCTTAACCTATCCTTAAAAAGAAATGTATAATGTTTTTAAAACACCTACATTATAGAGTTCACAATATCAAAACTTTCTGAATCTGAAAATAACAAACCTAGCAAACTTTTCTTTGTCAATTTGTTCCTGGTTATATGGTGTGCTTTGCTGGCTATCTTCATCATCAGAACTGTAAAACAAATTTCAATTTTCAGCAAATCTTAAATTTATTCTTACATCTACAAATATGTATATAACTTTCAATAACATATCATAAAGGAGTCTGTCAAAGGAGTAGGTTCAATCACCTAAAATGGCCCCTATTTCTAGCTAAAATTTCAAATTAGGATTTATTCACCAATATCACAATGAATCAATTATTATGATAATACAATGACTAGATAGGAATTATATCTTTTTGTTAAAAATTTATGTACTTGCGTTCTATTCATGACATCACAAATAGCACTCATTTTGATTTTCCACGAAAATTTCAATGAAAACAGGTAAATTTCCATAGATTTTTTGGACAGGAAACATAGAGCGTATGTCTCGAAAAAAAGATCTTTTAACATAAAGTTTAGTATGACATTTTACAGATCTGACTTGAATATTAAGTTTGTTGACGCCTGCTGTCTAGGTTTCCTAGGCCTTAATTAATGTGCTTGAAATCTGGACAATTTTGTCAAATCTTGCAAAAATCTCTAAATCAACGCTTTATAATAAAACTTTTACCAAAAATAGTTCTAATTAAGTTTCTCAGATGTATTTTCATCAACATAAAACATTTTTTATCTTGAAACATTGAACTTAAAGGGGCATTAGCTGTCAAATTCATGTTCACCAATTTGACTCAAATTCTCATATTTGATTCATAACATACTAAAACGTATATCCAAATTACAAAAAGTCTAAAATAAACAATTAACAATGCATGGGCTCGATAATATGTATCAACATTTAGTGTGTATTTTTGTCTAGACGTAATCTAATTAAACATCGAGATGACCTTCAAAGACTGCCGACGGTCATATAACCAGATATAAACATACATATAAATATAAGCAGATAGCAACCACGTGCAATTGGATTTTTCTAGGTCTGTTTGATTTTATATTGTATTTAAATAAAATGCTTCGCTGGGCGCAGCTTGATACGACCGCAGAGGTCAAACCCTGAACAGTTGGGGCAAGTATGGACACAACATTCAAATGAATGTGGTCTAAGAACTTAAAAAATTTTAATTTACCTATTCAAACCATATCATTATTATTTGCTTTTATATATACAAATGTAAATCAGAAATAACCAATTTAAAATGGAAAATTTTAAAGAAAAAAAAAGGAAAAAAAGGAAAAAAAATCCCTCCCCAAAAACTTGTGTTCAAGTGTATTGATCTCTCTGAAATTGTACTGCAAGGTACCATACCACAAAGGGATGGCTGGGATTGAGTTTGGGGGTGATGAATAATAAGGGGGTTCAAAAAATTTTGGGGAGGGATTTTTTTTCCTTTTTTTCCTTTTTTTTTCTTTAAAAAGACCGCAGAGTATGGACACAACATTCAAATGAATGTGGTCTAAGAACTTAAAAAATTTTAATTTACCTATTCAAACCATATCATTATTATTTGCTTTTATATATACAAATGTAAATCAGAAATAACCAATTTAAAATGGAAAATTTTAAAGAAAAAAAAAGGAAAAAAAGGAAAAAAATTTTTTTGAACCCCCTTATTATTCATCACCCCCAAACTCAATCCCAGCCATCCCTTTGTGGTATGGTACCTTGCAGTACAATTTCAGAGAGATCAATACACTTGAACACAAGTTATTGTCTGGAAACTAGAAAAAATGCTTGTTTTTAGGCCCCTTTTTGGCCCCAAATTCCTAAACATTTAGGGCAATTACACCCAAACTCGAACCAAGCTTTCCCTTTGTGATATGGAACTTTGTTGTACAATTTCATAAAGATCCATACACTTACACACAAGTTATTGTCCTGAAACTTGAAAAATGCTTGTTTTTTGCCCCTTTTTGGCCCCTAATTCCTAAAATTTTGAGGCAATTACCCCAAAATCAATCCCAGCCTTCCTTTTGTGGTATTGTACCTTGCAGTACATTTTCAGAGAGATCCATACACTTGAACACAAGTTATTGTCTGGAAACTAGAAAAATGCTTATTTTTGACCCCTTTTTGGTCCCTAATTCCTAAACGTTTTGGGCAATTACCCCCAAACTCAATTCCAGCTTTCCCTTTGTGATATGCAACCTTGTAGTACAATTTCAGAAAGATCCATAATTTTACACACAAGTTATTGTCATGAAACTAGAAAAATGCTTGTTTTTTGCCCCTTTTTTGCCCCGAATTCCTAAAATTTTGAGGCAATTACCCCCAAAATCAATCCCAGCATTCCCCTTGTGATACGGAACCTTGTGGTACAATGTCAGAGAGATCCATACACTAACACACAAGTAATGTCTGGAAGTTACAAAAATGCTTATTTTTGGCCCCTAATTCCTTAACTGTTGGTACCAGAACCCCCAAAATCAATCCAAACCTTCCTTTTGTGGTATAGAACCTTATGGTAAAATTTCATAGAGATCCATTCACTTAATCTAAAGTTAGAGTGCGAAAACCAATGTTGACATTCATTTCCTTTTAATAGCCGAATACATGTGTAACCCATCTCTAGCTAAGGGAGTAAATTGAAGGTCACATGAATACGGAATCAAAGTGGTCGAATTATTCACTTGCAAGTGAATAATTCATCAGCGATGTTTCTTATCTTATTTTGACAAAATTTAACCAAATTGACTGCTAAAAGCAAATTAGTATTTCACTATGTCACTTTCATTAATGATTGAACCAAAAAAAATCATATCTTACTCTTTATGATTAACACCTTTTCTTTTTCTGTTGCCTCCCTTGCCTCCATCTCCTATAACAAAAAAATACATTTTATTTTTTGTTTCATGTTCCTTTCTCCAAAAGGTATCTGTATTTGGTTCAATTGTTTACGTTTACTTTTATACCCCTGACATGCCTAAGCTATGTATGTTTCATCTGACTCCTTTAACTTCATTTACACCAAATAGCCAATAAAATTTACTGGAATACAAACAACATATACATGTAGTATTGGATAACATAGGTCACAAATTTCGTATGGATGCTAGCAAATAAAAATATGCTGTAATATAATCTTGTATAATGGAATGGGTGACAATAGGTGTGAAAGAGGGACGAAAGATACCAGAGGGACAGTCAAACTCATAGATCGAAAACAAACTGACAACGCCATGGCCAAAAATAAAATGACAAACAGACAAATAATAGTACAGATGACACAACACAGAAAACTAAAGACTAAGCAACAAGGAAGGAGGTTATCCCTGCCTAGCACTATTGGGAAAGGTGAAAAATTCAATTAAAAACCCTTTCCTACAAAACTTAAGGGCTCCAGCAAGAGGTAAATGATACTCCCTCAATTTTGCAACAATTGCAAAGGTTGATGTACCTCCTGTTCAAAATGTCAGAATGCAACTAAACTGCTTTTAAGAAGTTTTAAACTTCTAGCAAATCAGAAACTTGCAATCATGTTTGTTGACAAATAAGCACCAAATGAGCAATATTCCAAAAGGACCTTGGTTGGATACATTCTGTCCAGTAGATCTAAATAAGACCAAACTAATTAAAGAAAAGAAGCAAAAAGATGATGGACAATGGCAAAAGCCAAGTGATGACAATAGCTCACAAGTCCTTTGGCCATGTGAGCTAAAAATATGCAAACATATTATGTAAATTGTACTTGGTGAAACAGCTAACTATCAAAATGCATACATATTGTTCAAAATTCCTGTAGAATATATCACATGACTTTATGTTATCAGAAAAGGATGCCAATGTATCTTTGACATTGTCCTAATTGAAGTTCATCTGAAATCTTTGTTATAAACAATGCTATAATATCTGTTCCTGTTTGAAAAAATGTTCTATACCCTTTATTCTAGCAGTTAGGAACAAATACTGTTATATTTCTTGCAGCGGAAATATATTATTCCCGACATTTGGAACAAAAGTCATACCTGCCAAATTTTAGGCGTGAACTACACGATTATGATCTCTTGTCCTGATTTTACGATCGTGATCTCGAAAAAAGCTCTAAAAGTTAGTTAGTATTCCACGGTGTATTTTATATTTAACAATATAACAGTATAACTGTATACACCATACAATCGGTACAAGTCACTGTGGTCAGGTCCATTAGTAAAAGCATGGACCCAATCAGGAGTTTTCTATTTAAGGTTTTATTTTTAATAATTTTAGATAAATGAAGTTCAATGACAGATTGTATACATAGACATAAAAATATAATTATGCAATTTGTAATTCACTATTGCTATGCAGTATTCATATGACAGATAAGATGCAACCTAAATTACAAATGCACAGACATGTCTTATCCATAAAGCATTTAAATAATAAATACCTAATGGCAATTAAACTATGTTTTCTAGTACTTTGTATGTTCAGCATAATCAAACCTTAGCTTTACCTCTGAAAAAATACTCATTTTAAATACAAGCTTTTATTAATTTTGTCCAAGTGGAAGCCAAAGAAAGCCAACAGAAATGGCAATTGTCCACTCTCATATATACTATAAGTGTACAACACTAAATGCATGACATGCCTCATTAATTCTACCATTTGATATTCACTGTTATTAATTTTTTTAATTATACTTATAAAGAGGCTTTCTACAAGCAAACTAAAAGATGGAAGTTTTAAGCATTAAATCAAGCTAATATACATCTGCTTTTCTAGACAAACTTAAAAGACTCATTACACTGTAGTTTCAAATCATGGTAAAATCTCTGCCAGTAGTGGGAAATTTTCAGTTGACAACTTGGGACAACAAATTCAATGTATCTGGTAGAAGCATGACTAACATTTAAATTAACCAGTCGTATCAAAGCAAACCACCATTCTCCTTAGAACACAATGATGTTTAAAACCAACCACTTAAAAAGCCTAATAGGGTTCTCACCAAGAAAAGCCCTTCATGAAAATCATCATGATTTTCTGAACTGTTGAATCCAAAGATGCATCAAGATTGTATCAGGTGAGTCATTATATCATAAGTATTATCATTATTGTTACTTTACTTATGTCTATTTGTAATCATTATATGTAACATGCCCTTTATGGGCCGATAATTAGTTTAATAAAGTATTAGTAGCAAAAGTAAAACTAAACATACTTCAAAGTTTTTAAATTTATCTAATTTTGATTTTATTATTCATTTAAAAGACTTAAATAATATTAAGGCATTGCTATTTATTTTCTTTATTTTATTTATGACAAACTTGGAGAGTCCCTAGACTCGTGTACAAACATCCTTAGTGAGAATTTTTCTGCAACAGAAAAATAAGAAAGTCTTGGTAAATAATGAAATACTGCAACCTGCCTAGAAAACATGACAGAAATTTTTAAATCACATTTACCAGTAACTCAAAACACTGACAGAGTGTGCATATTAAATGATGTCATAATTAAAAGAACATGAAAAAACTATCATATTCTTCATGAAATTTTTCAATTTTCACATGAATTAGTAATTTCATAATGGCTCATTCATTTTGAATAATAAATGTCATATGTTTTTTTTTTCTGTTTCCCTTAGCAAGGCCATATTCTTTATCTACTGGTACATCTTTACTGATATTTTTCAGGAAATCTTTCACTGACAGAAATTTCCTGATCTTTATGAAGGAGAATCAATTAAATGCTTTTGTTGTTGAAAATCTGACTGTTCATTTTGAAGAAACAACTTTTCGAGTAACTGCAAATAAAAACCCTTTCCTTCAATAATACACTTTTAAAAAAATATGCTAAAAGGAGGCTTTCTTTTTTAATAAATTTTATTTTCATCATACATATTTTAGTCTTCAAAATTCACAAGTTCAAACCACCTGTAAGAAGAAAGAGTGCTAAGAAATTGTGGAAAATTTTTTTTTTGAGAAAGCGTTTCTGGAATAACATTTTATCATGTATGTTGGAGATCAATTGTTCAGTAAGACAAATATTAAACAATTAGTGAATTGCGCTTTTTTTTTTAATAAAAACCCAAATTGCCTAATTATAAATGGTACATCCAAAACTGTCTAAGGTTAACTTTTGCCTGAGGGAGTTGCAACCCTAAGTTTAGTGCAATTACATAATTCATGGTTAATTTCCAAATAAGGTGACTGAAAATTTCCTACATGTCTTTTATTTCCACCCTTCATTAACATACAGTATCTCGATTCTAATACTGACTCAGATGCTAAAAGCATGATCTTAGTGATATTTATGCAATTTTGTGTACTGAATGTCCTCCAGTGGAGGTGTGATTACAGACAATTATATTTAGTATATTACATGATGCTATTTGTCATAACAGAACATAAAATTGTCATTTCATTTTACATGGTCATTAACATCTAATTAAACATGTTCTACATTTATATCTTATGTGTAAGATCAAGACAAAAAGACCATTTCCAACATAAATACTTGTCACTACATACAATTTTGTCAAATGAGACAAACTGAAACATTTTTTTTTTATCAAAATAAGTATATTTTTGTTGAAGAAAAAAAAACAATATTTTAAAATGTATTGACTTAATTTTTTTTTAAATGTTCTGTTCAATGATTCAAAATTCTACAAATAGCAGTAATTTTTTGGACACATTAACTCATAAAATATGGGATAAAACATACAACAGGTCTCCACTTGTGATATTTTACAAATTAAAAAAAAAACATTTTTTGAGCATTTTAAATATACTAAAACATAGATTAACACAAGAAAAATGAATTGTGCTTAAAAAAGGCCAGGTCAACTTGCTTTAATTTGCCAAAAGCATGTCAACAAAAAAGAAAATGTAAACATGAACTGCAACTATATGCAGACAAGATTGCTACAGAGTATCAAACGTCCCCAGCTGATATACTGAAATTTTTCATATCACTAGTTTTTCAAACTCCAATAAGAAAAGGCTAGCAATGCTAATTTTCCATATTAATAACATTTCTAAGGGGTTTAATTCTACAAAAATTTTCTCATCACACTGACTTTCCAACCTGTCTCGGATATTGCTGATTTATACCAGTCACATGTATATCTATCAAAATTCAATAATAACTGTACTCATGAGATCACTGACAATGTCAGACAGACAGATGAAAGTGGAGGGACATAAGCATTCCCATTACAGGGGTGTGGAAATGCTATGCCCGACTCGCCCAACCTCGTACATTTGACCAACCGGACAAGCATTTGTTTGTGTCTTTGTTACCCGTGGACAAGTAAAAAAAATGTTGCTTGACAATGTTAATTTCCTAATCATATAGAAAAGTCCTCAAAATTTCTTCATCAAAGTAGAAAAATATCAAATAATAAGACGAAAGCAACATCATTAAGTAAAAAAACATCACTGATCAAGAAATAGATCGATTGTAAAACAACAAAAACAAAAAATAAGTATGCGGACCCAGTTTTCATTAATATTCTTCGATTTTTTCCCATTGATCTGCTATTGTCAATCAGGTTATAGCAATGATACACTGAAAATGGTCATTTTTATTTAAGAGCTCTGACTTCTCAAGAATGAAAACTAAATGACCAGTCGAGTTGGATAAGCATCTTTAGATAGGTCATCACTCAGAAGATGACCAACTGAAAGGAGGCGCATCAAAAAAAAATAAAACTGTTGATCGAAGAACTTAGTTTTGACAAGAAGCGGAAATCAGTTCTAGCAGCATTAAAGGACAAATAGCATGAAAATAAACAAAAATAGAGGATTTTATAGTTCTATAATCTTTTGATTTCGCTCAGTTATCTAAAATAATCTCAAATTTACAATTGGCCTACCAAAAGTGATTTTTTGGGGGGGAAAAGGGGAGGGGCAAACAAAATTCAATAATTTATCAATTATTTGGTTTCCATCTTTTTATCAACTTTAAAACTTTGCACAGGCTCACAGTGAAAAAAATATAATTCATGATATAATCTCCCAGGTTCATGTAAGCTATCATCAAAAAATAATTTGCAAAATTAATTGGCCTCTAGATTCTTTAGTTTAAAGTTTTTTTTTTGGTTGGTTTCTCATTGGTGTATAATCTACTTACATTTTTATCATTCTAACATACAAACAAAGACCATGAATAACATTTTCATTGTGTTTTAGAAACTGTTTTAGAAACATACACGTTTACAGTAAAATACATCTTCATTCCAAAATTCATTAAGAAATCGGGGCAAGTAACTATTCTTCCGGACAAATAAATTTTACAATTTCACTTGCCCGAGGACAAGTGGTCACAACAAATATTTCCACACCCCTGCATTACCCCTGCTCTGTTATAGACAGGGACAAAAATAATTACTTATCTCAGGTATAAAAATATCAGACTTATAATCTACAACTGATATGTATTCCAAGGACTGAATGAAGGATTAGGGCAAAATAATACACTGTGGATATATTGTATACCAATTTCCATGGATTTCGTGGGTATAGGTTACCTAACGTATACCATGAATTAATGTTCGATGAAGTACAAATATTCTATTGGCATGAATGCAGACTGGCAAAATCACAAAATTATCTATTGACGAAAATGCAATTTCACCTCAATCCACGAAAATTTGTATCCATGAAATTAAATGAATCCACAGCATACATTCCACTGAATGACAGGTAATTATCTGTGGGTGTGGCAACATGAAAAAAACAATGTTGTATATAGTCATTAATTATGTTTGTTTTACCTTTTGCAATATGCAACAATAATTCTTACTTTTGGCCAATTTGTGGTTTTTTTTAATTTTCCATAGTGATCTTTAGTATTAATACAAGCACTAGAAAAATAAACTAAATGAACTCTGTATAAAGTCAACGAAACAGCAACTCAACAACAAAAGAAAAATAGAAGACATCTGGTTTCTTATGTATTACTCTGTTATTTATATTATCTTCAAATATTGTGGTCTATAATCACCATAAACAATAAAACTGTAAATGTCAATCCCTCATTATAGATAAAATATTGAAAAAGACAATAAAAAAATTCTTGTACAAACCATAAAAAACTCTTCCGTAAGATTGATGGGCTGGAGGTCCAAAATGCTGAGGTAAGTACATCTGTGAATTTTGAGGTGTTTGGTCATAACTTGGGTAACTTCCTCTTGAATAATCCATGTTGTTTTCATCAATTTTTATTTCTAATAAAACGCAAAACCTAAAGCCAAGTCCTTTTGCTTTTGCATAAATATCTGGATTAGGCTTTGGTGTTTTTAGGATTGACACACATAATCTGTATCAGATTTATATCAAATTACGAATAATCTACATTAAGCTTCCATCTTGTCATTTATTGCAGTATTTTGTCTTTCATAGAATTTTTCAAATTGAACTTCAAAAATATATATTTTTATGTTATATAAAATATCTTATAATTCTAAAATAAAAATGTAAGTATTGATTATGTATATATCATATTTGCTCCGATCTCATATATACTTATTTTTTTTAAATTCCCTCTGGAATTGTCAATATATAAAAAAAATCTTTTTATACAACCTACACAATTTTAACGAAATGATCTTCTGGAATTAGACAGCACCACTTTATTTGCCAATTGAATTCAGAAATGTGAAAATCCACAAAATTTCAAACTTAGGTGATAAAATTCCTAATCCTTACTACACTTTAACACACTACAGATATAATAATGCCAAAAGGAGAATTTATAACTACTGTATGCACAGCTCCTTGCAATTTATGTTTGTAACATATTTCATGATGTACATTTAACTTTACTACAAGATTTTTTTACCTTGTCGTGTGCAGTAAACGGCATAAATGTCAGGGAAATTTACTTATGTCATGTCAAATGTTTAATTAATGGGTCAAGTTCATTACAATAATTAAATCCTCATTTCATGAAGAACAAACATATTCAATTTTCATAAGCGTGTTACATGTATATAATGTATGTTATTTGAAATGCATAACCTTGGAAATGTAAATTAAATACTTTTTTTTTATTCAACCAATGACATTATTTGATACATTGTAGCCAACATTTAAAGCAGTAATGCAGATTTGTATAGGCTGGTACTAATGCTAATGTGAAAAATTTAATTAGATTAAAATGGAGGGAATGAAAATACATGAGATCAACATGTAAATTTGACTACTCTATTCTATTCCGAATTAATTATGACAACAGAGACTTTGGTAAGTTTAGTTTTATTATTGAACAATTTGGTCATTTCATGCATTTAAGAATAGATTAATTTATTAAAAGTTTTAGTTTTTTTTTATTGAAAAAAATTAAGTTACACATGAATATTTGTAGCAAATATAATATAAGAAAATAGAATTTATCGTCATTATTTATGCAAAAAAATATTTGTAAAGGTTACCAGGAACCCTGTGTCTGGCCTGCAATTGCTGCAGTGTAAAAGTGTAGTGCTGACTGCCAAAACATTGTCCATTTAACAGCAAAATAACAAGGAAAAAAATCTTTAAATTTTATTTCTTGATCTTGAACAAGCTTCTTTCCAAGTTTGATTACATTACATCCTGGTTTAACAAAGTTGTTATTGTCTAAAAAATTTATCCAAGACTGCAACATCAAGTAACTAAGTGCATCTATCAGATTGTTTTTTGTTTGAATGAAAATAAGTTGTCCAAACAACTTATGTCAAACAGTATAGAACTACTAGATAAAATATATATACAAACTTCAATTCCTTTTTTCTTACTGATGACTTATTACAAAATTATTGGTACAAGTTGGAAAAATGAAAATAAATTGTCTGTAAAAACAACGGTATTTAATATTTTTTTAAACAACAATTTGCCTCAAACTCTTTTTTCAGATGTATCATCAACATAATAAGAATATGTTTCGGAAAATTTATAGAAAGTTGACGTATCTACATGATCTATAATTCAAAAAAAAATTGTTCTATCAATTCTATAACTTTATTAAAAATCCCAGCAAATATATTTTATTTTTTAAAGCAATAAACTAGTAATGTTTTTAATAGTTTTTACTGGACATAATACTGTCCAAGAAAAAAGTATACGAGGGTCTGGATGGAGGCGAGGGTCTTCATTCTTGTATTCTTTTATTTTTAGGCCATTTTTTCTCTATTTTTAATTTTTTTTTTGCCAATTTTTATTTATTCTTTATATTTGATATTCTAGCACCCCATTATTCTCTTCAAAGTTTAGACTTAGCATTTAGAGCTTTTAGAGTGACATCAAATCCTTTTGTGGGATGTCATTTGTTTTTGCAAACACACCAATATCATGGCTTCGATTTACTGATCGTGTAATTTACCACAAGGCCTTATATGTTCATAAATGTTTATATGGATCTGTCCCAGAATATTTGTCTAACAAAATCTCCTATGTTACAAATAAAAATGGAATGCAACTTAGATCAAATACTACCCAATTACTTAATATACCAAAGGCAAGAACAAACACATTTAGAAGATCTTTTTCATATTCTGGCCCAACTTTATGGAATAAACTACCAGAAGCACTAAGACACATGTCAAACATAAATACTTTTAAAACAAACTGCTTTAAGTTTTTACTTGAAAATCCAGGAATTATTTAAATGATTATGTATCAATTTTGATTATGTTTTCTTATGTTTATCTTTGTTTTGAAGAAATTGTATGATGCATTGTGAGTGGAGTGTGAGGGCCTCAAGGGAGAATAGTGTTTGTACTAATTGAGCATACCCTCTTGAAATAAAGATTATTATTATTATTATTATTATACACAAATGTTCAAATTCAAACCAATCAAAATTAACTCTCTTTACACAAAAGATAACTAGCGAGGAATTACTTAACAGAAAAGAAAAAAAATAGAGCAAACCTTTGCCTGAATTATTATTAAGGGAACAGATTTGTAATTAAAAAGCATCTTCCAAGGGCATGTGAGACAAACAAGATATAATGTGTTTTTATAACACTCAGCAACATTATCCAATACTTGGCATTGGTGATACTTTATGATCTATCTATCATATTTATTCAGCTCTGAATAACATACTAGTCTAGAAATAATGCTCAATATAACATCTCTCTGTGACAGAGACATTGATTTTACCCACACCAACACTTGATAATTACAGGTAGATTTTGGACATTTCTATGTAACTTACATTTGTATTATATCATGTATAGTCTTGTATATATCATGCAAGGCTTTGTAGTATACATTTTTGTACATTTCATATTTCAAGATTATTTTGAATAAGTAAAGATAGTAAATATAACTATAAAATAAAAATACTTGTTTTATTATTTCTTATTCTATATAAGCAAACATAATTGGTACCGTAATATATCCTTGACCAGTTTGTTCTTCTTTCTTTCTTGCTTTTCTATTTTTTTTAATTCTATCCTTTCAAGTTTGGTTGCATTTTACAAGAAAAAGCTTGTGTTTCATATACCTTTAGTTCTTAACAAATATCTAAAAATTAGCCTTTTTGCCTCATTTCAATACTACTGGTATAAAACTTGATCTTTATAGCACAGAGAGGCAAAGTCCTTTGCATTATTTGCCAATAAGTCAATATTAAAGGATTACTTCATGATACCTTTTTTACTTTTCAATTTTCCCTACCATTTTTCTATTTTGCTCATAAACAAGTCGGTTCATAGAACTATATGTTAAGAACATCTATTTATATTAATTTTGGTTCTCTGGAAAAAATATTATTCGTTATATCAGACTTTATGTAAGTCTCTAAATCTATCAAGAGATTCTGGTCAAATTTCTTCTTACTTACAAATGAGCTGCGTCAGATAGAAATCGACCTTATGTAAGTGCACATATGTATGTACATGTATAAGACTTTGATTGATTTTGGAACATTCTAATATGATATAATAGATGAATTTTGGTATATTTTGTAGGGTTCTTATATTATTATAACAACTCAATTTTCAAACTGTTTCAGTCTTTCCATAGAAATTTTTTCAATCCGAAATAGGTTAAGAGATGTATTGATATTCATTTGCATATGGTCGATTTCTATCCGACGCAGCTCAAATAATAAGGATATAAACACATGCTACAGCCCAAATTTTTGCCAAAAATATTGAAAGTTGATTAAATAAAAAATGCACAAAACATAGAAAGTATGCTGTGACTAAGAAAAATCAAAGTGACTGAAATCCCTGTGTGAAGAAGAGTTGCATGCATAATTTAAAATCATCTTTTAGTCTTCAATTGAGGTATGGTGGTGGACAAAATAAAACTTTAATATAGCACTAAAATTAATTGCATATAGCAATATTTTATGTAGATAACAAGAGCTTAATACCGGTTCCTGTCCATGTCAGCAGGTCAATAAATTTGTACAACAATTTCTTTTAAATTGCAATTTAGTATTGTTATCAAATCATGTTCACAGTTTCAAGTTTTATGTTCACATTTTTTTAACCAAGAAATAACCAATAAAAATTCCGAAGTGACCAAAAGATAGAGACTAAATGAAATCTAAGATCTTTGTCTCTCATAACTTACCTGTAAATGGCTGTTCTGGCCGCATTTCTATGTTCAAACATCTACATGTATGAATACTATTGTTCTCATTCTTCTATCAGATTAATCAAAGCTTGCTTATTGATTTTAGATACATGTACCGGTATAGTTGTATTCTTGTAGGGTGGCAAAGGGCATTTTTATTTCCGTAATCTTATCAAGAGGTTTAATTCTGCTGTCCAAAGATGGAAAAAGTTTTATTTTTGAGGCTATATTTTAATATTTAAATTGTAGAAGGTGCACTAATTTTACTGCATTTTTCTTGAGAGGAATTTTCAAAGGATGTTGTACATGTAGTGTACATGGTGTTTCTTTCATTGAGTTTGTATTTCCTATTTTCTGAAAGAGGCAATGTAAATGCATTTTTTCAACACCTAAAGATTATCAAAGCATCTAATTTAACAAATAACATACACCCAACATTTTTTTTATTATCCAGATTTGATATGATGTCTTTTCTTTGAAAATTTATCCTAGTCATTCATCTTGGGAGACATAATTTACAGAATAAACTTATGAAGTGTAGGAAAGTAATATGTAAATAATAAAATCTACCTTTTCTATGTACATCAACATCTAACCTACCATTGTGGTCAAGAATTGTGTATTGGGTTGGGTAATAAAGTGTACACAATTAAGATTGGCATGTAAGAGGAGATTCCAGTAAACTCTCTTCCTTTGTCTCTTATTATGATCATAACAGTTTTCAACCGTAAACTGTTGACACAGAAATATGTCTCAGCTTAATATAATTCTGATAGTAAATTAAATTTGAAAATGTTGAAATTAAAACGGCAATACTTTTATATGCAAACTACAA